AGATGCAGCAAAGAGGGGAAAATCCACATTTAATGGCAAGGAGCTGTGCTCCAGAGAGTTAATTGAATGTGGAGCCTGAAATTTTGGCTGCTGTTCGAGGTCACAGCCCCGAAACAAATAGGTTTTGACACATGAAAACCATAAATTTGGGTATGATGTCCAAGAAAGGAGCTGAAAAGGAGTGTTTCTGCCCGGTTTCGAACCGGGGACCTTTCGCGTGTGAGGCGAACGTGATAACCACTACACTACAGAAACTGGATGAAAGGTGTTTTTTCCCCTATTTCTACAATAGCCTGAAGCCTGTTTGTACAGGGTTTGTTTTAGGTGCATTTGCGCTAAAAGTACATGCAAAGTAAGGGCTTTCACTTCTGCCCTTGACAATTCATGCTTCTTTTATGCTTTTTTATTTTATTTTTTTTTAACATGACACTGCTTTTATAGAGCGAGCATCCATACCCATCTCTTGAGAGGTCATTATCAAAAATATGCAGAAAATTAAGGATTTGCCGTGCAGAATGACGGTGGGAATAAGATGATTTAGATTTTGGGTTTCCCTTCTTCCCTCTCTCTGCCTTTGCAAGCCCTGTTTTGGTGCAGGAGTTGAAAAATCTGAGGGATGCCTTCAAAAGCAAAAAAAAGCATGTTTCTGCCTGGTTTCGAACCAGGGACCTTTCGCGTGTTAGGCGAACGTGATAACCACTACACTACAGAAACTGGATGAAAAGGGGGAATTTGACCCATTTCTCCAATATCCCAAGGTCCATTTGTAGAGTTCTTATTAAAAGGAAGGCTTTGCTGCACTGAACAGCAAAGAAATTAAATATATTAGAACTTTGATTTTCCTCGTCTCTGCCCTGTTTTTGCAAGCCCTGCCTTGGTGCAGGAGGTGAAGCAGGGAAACCCTTAAAACTGAAGAAATTCCCTTAAAAGTTGTTTCTGCCTGGTTTCGAACCAGGGACCTTTCGCGTGTGAGGCGAACGTGATAACCACTACACTACAGAAACTGGATGAAAGGTGTTTTTTCCCCCATTTCCCCAATTTTTTCAACCCCATTGCCTTTGGGTTTCCTTTTGCTTCATCCGTGCTGAGAGCCCAGGCAAAGCAAAGGGCTCAGCTCTGGATTTGTCTGAAATCTCACGGATTTGTCTGAAAAATATAATAATAATAAAAAATGACACATCAGAGAGAACCCTGAAAACTGAAGAAAATCCTTAAAAAAACTTGTTTCTGCCTGGTTTCGAACCAGGGACCTTTCGCGTGTTAGGCGAACGTGATAACCACTACACTACAGAAACCTGAAAAATAACCCCAAAAATGCCCTATTCCTGGTAGGATGCACCCAGCTCTCCTCCAGCTTTTCCAGCTCTCTTAATTCCTCTCTGAACCTCCCAGATTTGCTGCTAGGTTTAGAAAAAAAGACCATTTTTGCAACCAGCCAAGCTTGGGTGGATGAGCAAGACCCAGTTTTATTTTGGAGCAAGCCCCAAAACAGCAACATGAGGATGGAAAGCGAGGGGAATGCTTTCAACACCGACTTGCAGAGAAAATCCATAGCGGTTCCCTCTGCCAGAGGGGGGGGGAAAAATGGAGCTGGAAAAGATTTGCTCTTTGGAAAAGAGCAAATTTTCTTAAAAATTAGGATTTTCTTTCCCTGACCGGGAATCGAACCCGGGCCACGGCGGTGAAAGCGCCGGATCCTAGCCACTAGACCACCAGGGAGAGATGCTTCGGGGTAATAATTGTTTTAATCAATTTTGCTATTTTTCTATATATTTTTTTTTCCATATTTTATTTATTATCCTTGCAAAAGGTGATATTCAAGCACCTGGCCAAACTTTTAGCGGCTTGGTTCTGTCCTCGATGCAATGAGGACCCTGCAGGACTCCCAGTCAGGGCTGCCCCCCCCCGTGTCCCACATCATTCCCTTTTTAGGCTCTTTTTTATTTTTTTTACTTAATTCTGCCTGGATCAAGAGCCTGGGAAGTCACACCAGGGGGATGCTGAGCAAAGCAGCTTCCAGTGGGTTCGTGCGAGGAATTTTGGGGAGGGGGGAACAGTGCTATGAATTAAATATTAATTGGAAATAATATTATTTTTTTGAAATAATACGGAAATATATTTTTTTAATGGTTTTTAATCTTCGATCACAGGGACTTATCTCGCTCTGGTACTTTTTCTCAGAGCCCGGCAACTGATAACAGCGCTACCACACCTCCCTCCAGGTGTTGCCAAAAATGTGCAATAATAAAAGATGAGATTGGGAAAAGAAACCCAAACATCAGCTCCCTGGTGGTCTAGTGGCTAGGATTCGGCGCTTTCACCGCCGCGGCCCGGGTTCGATTCCCGGTCAGGGAAAAGATAATTTATTTTCCTTAATTAATCTATATTTATAAATTCTGGTTGCACTGATGTTACCTACCCTACCTGGCACCATGACCCCAAGGAAAATATCAAGGCGTAACCTAATTATCTGCCTAAAACTCGTGCTAAAAACAGAGTTTTTATTTGCAGCCCTGGCTTTTCGACCTCCTGACCAGCTTTAAGGACACGAAAAAGAATAAATATTAAAATTTTGATAGTGTTTCTGCCCGGTTTCGAACCGGGGACCTTTCGCGTGTGAGGCGAACGTGATAACCACTACACTACAGAAACCCTCCATATCATCCCCTTTGCCCTCCCCCTCCCTTCACCTGGATCCCAAATTTGTTTTGGGCTAAAAATGCGAGGAAAAAGGAAAAAAAATATTTTTTCCTAAGATTACGCATATAAAGACACTTTCGTGCTCCTATTCCAAGCAGGAAGAGTTTTATTTATGCGGTCCTTCCCGGCCGATCCCATTTTTTAATTAATTATAGGGTTAAAAATTGCATAAATCACCTGCTGGGTTAGGAAAGGGGGTTTTCAGTCTTTCCAATAAATTTTTGTGCTGAATTTTGTTTTTGTAGCAGATCTCAGTGAACATATTGAAGAAAATGAGGCTGGAACCACCGAAACCATCACCAAAATAAGGATGAAAAAAGGTAGAAATTGGGGCCCGGCTAGCTCAGTCGGTAGAGCATGAGACTCTTAATCTCAGGGTCGTGGGTTCGAGCCCCACGTCGGGCGCTTAAATTTTTCTTTCATTTTTTTTAAATTATCACAAATATCAGCTACAAAACATCCCTAATTTCCCGGCGTTCCGACTAGTGATGAATCACCACGAAACCCCACGAAAAAAGAAAAAAAGAGGGGAAAAAACTTTCAAATTAATTTTTACGGTCTCTATAATCCCTTTTCAGCCCCATTTTCATCACCGTCAGGATGGCCGAGTGGTCTAAGGCGCCAGACTCAAGGCTCTGCCTTCCCGCAGTTGGGTATTCTGGTCTCCGAATGGAGGCGTGGGTTCAAATCCCACTCCTGACACGTATATTTTAATTATTTTTTTTTTCAGTTATTTTCCCCCAAAAAATGCCCACTTCGCCCCGAGACCGAAAATCCCCCGGTGCTGCACGATTTCGGACCGCAAATGGTTGATTTAAGCGAGTTTTCCCCAAAGCTGGGCTCCGCCTCGTGCTGGGAAGGGCAGAAAAAGAATTGTTTCACTTTTATTTTGAATCCTCTCGTTTTCAGCAAACTTGTTTTGAGCAAACTACTCTCTTGCAGTAATTTTTCTTTTTTTTTTTTTTCTTTTTTTTTGTGCACTTTGCACTTTGATTTTTTGCAAGCCAAATTGCTTTTAAAAAGTGTTTTTTGGGGAGAGGATTTTTTTCTATTGTTTTCTATTTTTTTTGTCTTTTTCTTTTTTTTTCTTTTTTTCTTTTTTTTTTTTTAAATTTTCTTTTTTTTTATTACTTTTTCTTTTTTTTTTTTGAGAGATTTGGGAAGAGGCAGGGTGCAGGCAGGGTGCGGGCAGGGCCAGGCAGGTGGGCAGGGCAGTTTCTGTAGTGTAGTGGTTATCACGTTCGCCTCACACGCGAAAGGTCCCCGGTTCGAAACCGGGCAGAAACACCTCGAATTTTTCTTATTTTTTAATATTAGTATACTTTTTATTTTATTTTATTTTATTTTATTTTATTTTATTTTATTTTATTTTATTTTATTTTATTTTATTTTATTTTATTTTATTTTATTTTATTTTACTTTATTTTATTTTCCTTTATTTTGCTTTATTATGTTTAATTTTATTTAATTTTATTTTTTATTCCCTCTTTTTGATAAAAGATCTTAAAAATATTTTTTCCGACCCTTTCCAATTCCTCCCAGCTCTTGCACAAACCCACCCCACTCCCCTAAACGCACTCTCCCCTTACCTAACGCAGGATATGCTGCACCTCCCCCGACGTCCCTCCGCATCTCACCCCCTGCTTTGGGCGATTTCTTTATATTTTATTTATTTTTACCCATTTTGCAGCCTTTCCAAAAGACAAAAGGATGGGAATCAATGAAAACTTTTCTTCCCTGACCGGGAATCGAACCCGGGCCGCGGCGGTGAGAGCGCCGAATCCTAACCACTAGACCACCAGGGACGCTGTGTAAAAACCTTTACCCTCTACTCCATCACCCCTAGCAAGAATTACCCATTCAAGCCCATTTTTGACCCATTTTTTCTTTTATTTTAATCTCCTTTCCCTGTCCTCCCTGCACCCTCCACTTCAGCACCTCCTCAGGTTGTAGCAGGCATCAGCCCGTGCTCTTTTTTTGGGGAAACAGCGGTGATTCCCAGCTGCCTGGAGCTCAGGTTTACCCATACTTAGAGGGAAAACAAGCCCCACAGCCCCACAGCACGCCAGCAAAGCTCCTAGAATTCATTTTAACTCCCAATTATGGCTTAAACACCAGAACTCTTGGGAATTTCGGGAAAAGCATGTGACTATTGCACGATGCAGGAATGGCTGTTGCAAATGTGAGACCTTGCTCCGGCCAGGTGGGGATTTTGCAGAGTTTTTTTGGGATTTTTCCCATTCACTGCCCCCTGCTCAATGCCCATGAAGTGCCAGGACGAAATAACCACAAGACCAGGCTGCAAAGGAGGCAGTTTCTTATTACCATTTCCAAACAAAGCTTTTCAAACCATCAAAAGCACATCTGTACAATTGCTTTGGATATCCAAAACCCCTGAGTCCATTCAGTGGTAAGGAACCTGGGAAATGCTTCGTGAGCACCTTCCATCCCCTCTGGGCTCCTTCTTACATCCCCAAATTGCCTTTACGCACCAGCTCAGCCCAAGGGTGTTGCTCAATGAGAGGTTGAAGCCAAATCTGCTTGGGAAGGATTTATTTCTCTTGGTTTTAGGCATGTACAGGAGATGTGTCTGCATGCCATCTAGTCAACCTAGGCTCCATCTGCAATCGGAGCACTCCTGCAAAGACCCGTTGAGCTATTTCTAAATGAGATAATGTACAAATTGCCACCATTCTCCATTGATTAGGTTATCTCACCCACTGATTAGATTCTTGCCTTCTTCTCGGAAGAAAGGTAAGAAAACTTGAAGCTGTCGGGAAGTCCTCCAGGCTTTTGCATCTTGGTCCACAGCATCTGTGCTCAGTCACAATGCTCAGTGGGATGAAAAAGATGAGTAAAGGGTCCGGAAAACAGCAGGGATTTGTGATCAGTTGGAGATTTGGCTCAGCTCTATCCTTGTTCTCCGACAGAGAGGTTTTCTTCATGCCCCCAAAAGCCATCTCCGGGGTGATGAGACCCCACGGTGTCCCCAGATTTGGGAGGGTGAGACTTGAGGCATGGAGGGGGTCAGGGGGATAGGGTGAACTGGCACCCCCTCCCCAAGCAGAGCAGGGGGAGGATTTGCTCCCCTGCAAAGGACGTCGGCGGGTAGGTGAAGATGGGCGCCAGGTTGTGGGAGTCGAAAAACGCCACGCGCCCTGCCTCGTAGTCCAGGTAAATCCCAATCACCCTGGGGGCGGTGAGCAGGGAGATGGGGCTGGTAGGAGAGGTGAGAGCCTGGTACTGGCTCCCGCACTGCCCCACCGCCCAGATGCCCACCTCGGGGTTGACGCTGATCCGTCCCTTCCTCCTCACCGACTCCTTGGCCACCCCGACGGCCCAGGCTTCCCCGTCGCCCACCTCCACCTCCCAGTAGTGCCTCCCCGTGCTGAAACCCTCGCAGCCCAGCACGCAACGAGACGAATCGAAGCGTTTGGGGTTGTCGGGCACGGGCTGGCGGGTGTCTTCCCATCTCACGCGCTTGCGATCCTCGGACAGGACCAGCCGGGGATGCGCCGTCTCCGGATCCAGCGTCAGGCTTACTGAGGACAAAGAGAAGAAGAGCATCAGAGGCATGGTCCTAAGTGACCTTAATGTCCTATTTGGTCCTAAATGACCTAAATGACCTATTTTTCCCAGGCTTGACTCCAGCTCCCAGTCCAGGGGCTCTCCCTGTTTGCTGGAGTGATGGAAGAATTTTTTTTATGCCCACGAGCAAGACAGGAGGAAGAGAAATGTGAGTGTACGAAGGGAAATTGATCTAGAAAAGCAAGGCTTTGAAATGTGAATATTTTTTTCTGGAAGTCTCCAGGCCATTGAAAAAAATACACAAATCCTCCATTGTCCCTTGACCTTCCTTTTTTTTTTTTTTTTAAGATCACCAGTGTTCCCAGCAGCTCCACGGGGAAATGTTTGCAATGTTCGCCTTGTTCCTAGAGCTGCTGCTGAGCAGGACTCTACGTGACATCCCGCAGGCATCCCAGTGCTGACCTGGCTCCCCAAGTCCTGCCAGGAGGCAAACTCATCCTCCCTCATGCAATCAGCCCGAGTTAATTGCACCTTGCTATGCTAATACACGGGGCATGTTGGAGGTTTCTCTTTGCCACATTGCACCAGGACTTCTCCTCTGCTGAGATCTTCCTGAAATCCAGACCCAGGTGCAACCTCCAGCCCTCTCCTCCCCGGTTTCTCTCTACCTTGAAATTTCATCAGCATCTCCTTGAGGGCAATGTTCTTCTGGGGAAGACTAGTGGGCGTCTCGGCCAGCTCAGGCGATGCCTCCAGTGGCTTCTGGGCGCACTCCTTCTCAAGCCTGGAAGGAAAAAATAAGCTGGCTCGTAATACTGCCTTTGCTCGTAATTCTCATGATGAGAATTTCTGATTTTCAACTAGGTTTTCTTACAAAGAAATAATAGTGGGGCTGGAGCAAAGGATGGGTACTAGGGTTGTCATTAATGAACTCCCCATAAGCGTCTGCTGACCCAGAGCATTATTTTGTCCCAAACACCAAGCAATGAAGAGCTTCTCTCATAACCAGCAATGCTTTACAAGGGAAATGCAGGCAATAATAGATGCCTTTTCTTGCCTGCTTTTGCCTTTAAAATAACCCACCTTCTTGATCGATGTCCAAAGAGCATTATTCACGACGAAGTCAGTTATAGGGGGTGGAAATTCATACTGAAGCCCCCCTTCCACCCAAACGCACCCCTTGGTGTTTAAACATCCAGATATTTTAGCTGCTGGGTTGTAATTTATGATGGGCATCTGACAGCTTTTCTTGGTCTTCAGCATCCTACTGGGACCAGGGCACTTTTTGCAGTGTCCTAGCTTTATCCTATATGTCTATGAAGTCACTAGCACATGGGGCTCATAGGGGGCTGGGATTTTGGAGTCCATCAGTCTCACCACCGTAGAAATAAACATTAACATCATAATAACGTGTGGGAGAAGCCACAAACCTGCTCAGGATGTTCCTGCTGTCCTACAAGGGAAGGATGAGAGAAGGAGCATTAGGACAGAGCAACAATAAACAACCAAAGGCTGCCGTGGGGTGACCTCAGGCAACCACTCTAAAATTACGGGTCTAAAATAATACTGCATTGCCTGCACGGTGTTTATAGATCTGCTGCGGGGTTTGGCAAGGTCACGGCAGCACCACTTAATGAGCTGCTCCCTTGTAGTTATCTGCCATCACCCTTCGTGTCCCTACTCTTTGGGCATGGGTGTTACTATTGCTAATGCACACTACTGCTTTGGCATAGCCAAATATTTGAAAAGCAGGAGTAAAACAGAGCCTGCAGGTGGGCTGAGGTGCATGGTTTGATGGCTACTTAAGGAGGAGATGAGCCACAGCTAGGCACTGCTTTTTGTTTCTCCACTATGTATTGTTGGGATTTAGACAACCTTTCTGGATGTAGACGTGTACAATCAGATGGATGAGTCCCATACCCATCATCATTAAATAGTGATTTAAATAAATTGGGCTTGGTTTAAAATGTTCAAAAGGACAGCTGGGCCATTGAAGAAAATAAACGTATTTCATTTTTTTAATAGCTTTGAAGGATAATAGTTTTAAAGGAGCATTTAGGATGAATTTGCCCCCTGGGCTGGTGACACTGGTGATGTTCAAGGCCAGGAGTTTTCCCTGGGGCTCTCACCTGTAGGAGTTCATATGCTGGCTGCTGACACTTCTCTTCCAGCTCACGGATCTGCTCACCCACGGAGGAGATCTCCTCCAAGATCTTGGCGATGTTCTCCTCCTGCCTCCTCACGATCTCCTGGTCCAGCTTGGCTAGCTGGCCCAGGAGGAGCTGCTCCTGTCGCTCCACAAACTGGTGCAGCTCCTTGATTTCGGCCACGACCTTCTGCCTCTCCTCTTCTACCCTTTCCTGCAACGAATGCACGCAAGGGAGAGGCAGGGAGAAATTGCTTGGGGGAAATTGCAACAGAGCAAATTTAATGTGTTGACTTTAGGTGCAAGACGGCCATAAACTCATAAATTCCAATGAGTATTGCAGAGCAGAGGAATGTGTAATATTTTAGATCTTTTTTTTTTTTTTTTTTTTTTTTTTTTTTTTTTTTTTTTTCATTGCCATTTCTAGGCTGAAGGTGCTGTCAGAGAGCATTTCCCATGGACTGTAATCTTTGTACCTAAAATGCTGCAGACCTTTGAACAGCAGGGAAAGATACACACCAACACCATAAACAGAGATGTCAGGGAAAGGGAAATCACGGCAAGAAAGAAGCAGTTGGGTCATTCCCTTTTCTACATATATTAATAAGGAGAACCTGGAAATGTGCCCCATTTGTGAAAAAACAGAGGAAAAAAAATCTCAGCAATAACCTGGCCAAATCCAACACACGATTGCAGCCAGATAAGATGCTCAAGGAGCCAGGAGGCATGGGGGGAATAGAAGTAGCTATTAACTACATATGGTACCTGTCCATATGTAGGGATGGACACTTACGAGGAAATTCAGGCTTCTCCCTTCCTCAGCCATTTTCAGCCCCAGCAGTTTTTCTCTCCTGTCCTTCAGGATCTGCACGTGAGCCTGGAATTTCTCCTGAATAGAGAAGAAACATTTTGATGGTGCATTTTCTTCCCCCAGCTGGTCCATCCCCCTGCTTTCATCCCACCTAACCCAGCTTATCTCCTACAAATTCACTCTCCCCTGCTTAATAATATGGCAATCTGGCTCTGGTAATTAGTAAACCCTCATTTCTGGAAGAGAAAGGGAGGTGGGCAGACAGAATGGGCTGCTTTCTCCCAAAACTACAGTAAAATTTTTAGCATAGAAAAGAAAATACTCAGGCAAAGGACAAGGAGCTTCAAATGACTGGGGAGACCCTGCTGGCATCTCCTCAGGTACAGTGCTGACCCAAAATGTAAACTCAAGGTTTTTGCTCACATCTGATGCTGAGGAATATGTTTTTATCCCCAACCTTGCAGCCTGGGCAATGCCCCATGCCCGATGTTCAAACCAGCTTAGGGTGGCAAAACCATATCCTCCACCACCCCTGGGCGGTGAGACTGGGGATGCATCACCTGTATGTGGTGAGAACAAATTTTACACCTCACCCACAGACAAAAAAAAAAAGCATTTTTCACTGCAACCAGCACAAAACGTAACCCTGCCTTGCACCCTGAGACCAGATTCTTTTGGTAGAAATCAGCATCTGGTTTCTATCAGCATTTCTGTCTAATCTGCACAGGAAGCATCTCCTGCACCCCAAATGTTCAAAACAGCATAGCTGCCCCTGCTTTGAGCAGGAGGTGGGATTAAATATCTTCTGGGCTCCTTTACAGCATGATTTATATGATGATAGTACGATGATCGGGGAATGACAGCATCAAGAAAATTGGGATAACCAGGAGAGAAAGAGGGGGGAGCACGGAGCAAGCACGGAGGAGGTCGGCTGTAATCCAACCCGTGGATCGAAAGGGGTGGAAACGCAAACATTTACAAGCATTTCTCAGGGTAGTTCCCTGACCCGGTCCCCTCCTCTTCCCCTGGTTTCCCCCCACCTCCGGAGCCCTCCTACCTTGTGCTCCTCTGCAGCCTCCTCGATGGGGACCACGGGGTGGGCGCGATGCGCCTGGGACTCCCTGCAGACCAGGCAGATGGGGGTCTGGTCCTCCTCGCAGAAGAGTTTCAGAGCCTCCTGGTGCTTCTCGCACAGCCTCTCCCCCCCTGCCCCTCCTTTGGCTGCCTGCAGGCTCAGCCTCTTGGCTATCTCGATGATTTTCGCCAGCTCCCGGTTGGGTCTCAGGTTTCTCTCCGGGGCCGTCTCTTTGCACCGCGGGCAGGTGAAATTCGCCTCCTCTTCCTCCCAGCAGCGGGTGATGCACGCCCGGCAGAAGTTGTGGCCGCAGTGGATGGAGACGGGGTCTTGGAAGAAGCCCAGGCAGATGGAGCAGGAGGCTTCATCCTGGAAGCTTTCGGCGGGGATGTCTTCAGCCATGGTCTTCTCGGTGGCGAAGATGACGGGGCAGCTTTCGTTTTCCGCCCCGGTTGGTCTCGCCGTTGGCTGCTCCCCTTCCTGCAGGTGCCTGGGGCCCCGAGGGAGGTGAAAGGGAGCTGAGAGATTCATCACGGGGATGATCAGGTTTTCTCCGGGCAAAAGGCTGAGCTGAGAGGCTGCAGGAATCCCCTTTTCCCCGAGGGGGAGCGGAGGGGAAGGGTGAAGCCCCCTTCCCCAAGGGGGACCCCGTGGGTTTCAAAGAGACCAGATTGAAAATAAACATCCTTAATAACTTCCTGGCTCGGTACAGATCCACCTGCAGCTTCTCTATAACACCCTCCCCAAAAAAATAAATACCCAGGGAAGCAGAGGAGTAACCCCCACCCCAAGTTTCTCCATGGTCCAGCACCCAGAAACCAGTCTGGTCTCATTCCTCATTAATAAATGCACTCTTAAGGGATTAATTAATTGAAGGGCACGGGGGGAAAAAAGCTTGATACAGCTCCCTTCTTCATGCTAAACCACCAAACACATCCTTCGCTGCTCGTTTTCAGCCCTTTCTTATTTTGCATGCCTAACTGCTGGCTTCACCACCGTCTTATTTGCGTTCATGCGTGTGTACGTGCGGCTATAATTCTTTTATTGCTGCTTTCGCTTCTCCTTTTAAACAGGATGCTGTTTCTTTCACGGCTCAGTGCTAAGCCCGGAGTCAAGTGACAAGCAATTACCACTCAGCCGTTTATTTTGATCTTCCCTTTTCCTCCAGGCTTGCCTGAGCTTGAGGAAAGGAGGGGATTTCCTTTTGCCCTGTAAGTGAAATAACTCCACGAAAAGCCATATCCATCATCTGTCTGCTCAGGGATGGGTTCTCCTTCAGCTGGCTGCAGAAAAGCTTCCATCAGCCTTTTGCCACCACGTTTTTGGGGGGAGATGTGATATTTCATTAGTGTTGAACAATTAGGTTGTTTAGGCTGAAATATCACATCTATCACATAAATCAATCACATATCACATCACATCTTATCACACGAATAAGCAGGTTTTTATTTTCCTGCGAAGCCTCTGGCTGTATAAGCCAGCCCTGAATCCAAAACTTCATCCAAAATTTGCTATAATAACACCAAAATTCACTATAATGATGCCAAAGTGACAAATGTCCTCCTCCCCATCACCTTTCTGCAGCTGTCCTGGAGGGACAAGAACATCATTCTCCATCCCATTAGATAAAAATCCCCAAATTCACTCAATCCCACAGACCACTGACCTGTGGTCCATGGAATAGCTGCTACCAGTCCAAAGCCCTTTTCATGCCCAAACGAACAGGGTGTATTTGCATGGGGACGATGCTGGCTAACGAAGCAGCACATTTTCTGAAAACATCAGTAAATAAATAACACATCTGTGGTTTCTGGTTTGCAGGTTTTTTGCAGGGGGGCATCATGATTTTCTGGTGCAGATTTCCGTGCCTGTGAGCACTCAGAATGAAACTGGTGGTACGGTTTCATATTCAAGGCCTTTTATATTTTATTTTATTTTATTTTATTTTATTTTATTTTATTTTATTTTAATTTTATTTTATTTTATTTTATTTTATTTTATTTTATTTTATTTTATTTTATTTTATTTTATTTTTTTAGGAGGGGTGTTCATCTGGAGTTAAGGGTTGATTTATTAGGGAATGAGACGTGCAGAGGAACTGATGCTGGGATTTGCATTCAGGGCACTCTTTTCTCTCCTGCTTTGCTTCCTCCTGCTGGCCCATGAATGCCAACAGCCTCATTACCTCTTTCCTTCCTGGCACAAGCCACGTTTCCTCCCCAATTACCTACATGAGCTGCATAATCACCATAACCTCGGAGCAATCACCTGCAGCGGCTTTGCTTTTTGCTGTGCCTGTTTGGGGCTTGAAGCAGAGCTTGGTGCACCTGGAAAAGCATCACTGCTTCTCCAAATCCAGCCATGTCACTTGATTTTGCCAAGCCCTGGGGGCACTAACGAGCATTAATGGCCCCAAGCAGCCTCCACCTGAGCCCCCCACCTAGCCCATGGCACAGGGACTCTATTTAAGCTCAGTTTTTAGGCTTTTAGCATTTTTGCAAGCTGCTTTAGAGGAGAACCCACGCATGGCTGTGGACCTGCTGATCCCTACACCCCATGGGCTGCCTTCGTGATTCCAATGCCTTTGCAAAGTGATTTTTATCCCCTAAGAAAAATTAGCAGAGATTTGGAGCTGCTTATTTCAGTATGGAGAAAATGTGTTTTAGGGGTGTTTGAGACCATTGTTTTAGGGAAAAGGTGGGTGAGGGAGCACCCAGAACCCACGAGGGAGAGGCTGAGGAGTGGGTGAAGCATCATTTACCATGTCTAAGTGATGTTGAACTTGATGTTAAACAGCAATAAGACACAGAAAAGGGAGTCATGGGGTACTTTGATGTACTAATTTCCCTTAATGTCAACGCTAAACCTTAGGGTAAAGCTCCCCAGAGGCTTAGCTTGCCTTCAGATAACCCAACCCAGCTGCTAAAAGAAGGCTTGGTGCGTTTTTATTTGTTTTCTTGCAACCAAAGCCTTCTAGTACTGCTCTCTACAGGTTAAAATAATTACGCCCCTCTGCAAATGAGCCCTGAGCTCATTGTAAGCAGCAGAGCTGTGAGCGAGTGTGGTCTCATGAGGGAGCTGGAGGCTCTTTTTTGAAAGAGGAACATTTGTTGAATGCCTCTCTGTGAGGGCAGCTAGAAAATTAGTAATCAAAGCTTTTATTATGGGCTTCTGCTTAATTGCTTCAAGCCATCAATTAGGGAAGTGGGGGAAGGAATTCAAGGGGCAACCCCAAAATTGCTGTCAGGCACAAGTTGCCCTGCTTGAGTTTTCCCTTTTCTTTGCATTGCTTTAGCTCCTGCCTCCTTTCTTCAGTCTCTTAGGTTGTAGTTTAAGGGTTAAATATAAATGCAGGCCAGGAAAAGGGTGTGCTTTTTCCTGTGATCAGCCACATGAGGAAGCCGATTGGGCTGAAAAATGGGTCTGGGGGGGTGGGAAATGGTTTGTTTTCAGGCTGTTTGGTGTCTGGTTCTGCAGAGGTGGAGAGGGCAGGATGGTGGTGGCCAAAGCTATGGGATGGGTCAGCTGCAGAGGATGGTTCAAATGTAAAAAAATAAAGTAAAATGAAATATAATGAAATAAAATAAAATGAAATAAAGTAAAATAAAATAAAATAAAATAAAATAATAAAATAGGGTGCTGTTTGCTGCAGAACCGATGCTGGCCCCACGTGTGCCTCCACCATTGCTTTCCCAACCTTCTCAAACCTTCTCCTTTTCCAAGGATGTCCTTCTCTATTTTTTTTCCAAGCCAAGCCCCCTCCCTAAATCCTCCTTGCTCCCATCCCCAGCTCATCCAGGATGCGGGTCTTGCCCCGATTTTTAGCAGGGATCCCTTTCCCCATCCCAGAAGAAGATCCCCGATGTATCTAGATCCATTCTGCCAACCCGCGGGTACTAGGGCACCCATGCAGGCATTTTGGGCATCACCTCCTCTCCCCGGTCCCACCCCAGGATCATCTCTAGCTCTGCCCACCCCGAGCACTGGGGTGATGGGAAGGGAAACGCCTTTCCCTCGCGCGGAGGAAAATGAAAGTTGGTGCTGGTTTGCAACAGGGGCCCCATGGCTGCACCGAGCCCTGTCCCCAAGCTCCCCAGCGAAGCCTCCTGCCCAATCTGCCTGGAATATTTCCGAGACCCCGTCTCCATCCACTGCGGTCACAATTTCTGCCGGGCGTGCATCACCCGCTGCTGGGAGTGGTCCACGGCGAATTTCTCCTGCCCGCAGTGCAAAGAGACGGCCCCGGAGAGAAGCTTTCGTCCCAGCCGGGAGCTGGCGAGGGTCCTCGAAATAGCCAAGAGGTTGAGTTTGCAAGCAGCCAGAGGGGATGTGGTGGAGGAGGAAGGATGCGAGAGGCACCGGGAGCCTCTGAACATCTTCTGCAAAGACGACGAAACCTTCATCTGCGTGATCTGCCGGGAGTCCCGGCTGCACCGGGCTCACACCATGCTTCCCGTGCAGGAGGCTGTCCAGGAATACAAGGTAAAGGTTTATTTTTTCCACCTAGATATGCACTAGGAAATGAATCGGCACCATCGGGGTGTGATGTTCCATCTCAGCACCTTATCATGGGGCTGCAAATCATCCTACCCCCCACCCAGGGCTGTAGTCTGGGGGCAGTAAGCGTTGTCCTCCCCCCTTCTGGGTGTTTGCGAGCTGACCTCTTTCGAAATGACAACGTTGACCACGCACCGGTGTTTCCACTGCCTCGCTTCTCAGCCTGGTTGAGCAGTTAATCTAAAGATATTCCACAGCCAAAAGGGTGAGGTCTTCATCCCCTCTCCCCCCTTGTGAAATTCAAGCCTGTGTCCAGCTCTGGTGCTTAACAGACATGTTGATTGTGTGATGCTCTCTAAATCAGCAGGAAAATGTCCCATAAAATAAAATAAAATAAAATAAAGTAAAATAAAATAAAATAAAATAAAACAAAACAAAATAAAATAAAATAAAATAAAATAAAATAAAATAAAATAAAATAAAATAAAATAAAATAAAATAAAATAAAACAAAATAAAATAAAGTAAAATAAAATAAAATAAAATAAAATAAAATAAAATAAATAAAATAATAAAAAAGCTGCTTTTCTGCTGCATCAGTATGTTAAATCAACTTGAGAAAGGTAAAGAGCAGGTGGACAAAACTTTGTGGCATTTATTTCAATTTAAAGCATTCCCAGTCCCACAGTTTTGGATCCTTTTGGGCCAAGAGAGTCACAAGGAGAAGTTCTAGAGTTGAGCAAGGCTCAATCCCACTTCCAAGTGTCCATTTTTTAGGTTGTCTGCGCTCTCCAAAGATGTGGGGTCTTGTTTTTTTCCCTCAGGGACAAATCCAAGCCCACCTGCAAACACTGAAGGAAGACAGAGACAGGCTCCTGGGCTTTCGAGAGGCTGAAATGAGGAGAAACTGGGAGTATTTAGTAAGTATCTATTTATTTATTTTTTTTTTGATCAGGAATGGAGCCTGGATATCTCCTTTTGGTTTTAGATGAGATGCTGCATGGATTATCATCCTGCTGAGCATTGGGTCTCTCTCCATGTACTAAGCCAAATACTTCCTGACCCCTTTTCTCCCCCGGGATTTTAGGGGAAAAAAATATAGAAAGCAGAATCTGGAGCCCCGAAAGGAGCTCAATTGCTGAATGCCAAGGAAATTCTGAGTGGGTTTGCTTGCTCTGGATGGAGAATCATGTTTGGATGTGTTGGAAGTCATAACGATGTCCCTGCTGTAACACATTTTAGGATGCTCAGGGCACTGACCCTTTCTAGGTGTGCATTTAATAGTCAGTGCAGGACTTTGCTGCCTCATTCTACACCCACCTCTTGTGTCCCCTCCTCACAGGAGAAGACCGAGGCTGAAAGGCAGAAGGTTTTGAGCACGTTTGAAGGGCTGCGTCTCTTCCTGGAGGACCAGGCACGTCACCTGCTGGCCCAGCTAGCGGAGCTGGAGAGGGCCATAGAAAAAATACAGGAAGAAAACATCACCAACCTGACAAAGGAGATCTCGCACCTGGACACCCTGATCCAGGAGTTGGAGGAGAAGTGCCAGGAGCCAGCAAGTAAATTTCTGCAGGTGAGGAACTATTAAATAGAGCTTGGCTAACACAACCTGGCTCTGGGTATTGACCCATGATGTGGCTAAATCTGGTTGTGCTTGCTCCAAAGCTGCCGGGGTTTCATTAATATTTTGCTGCCAAGATGCATTCCCTGATTTTCTTATCCCTTCTCTCTCTTCCAGGACATCAGAGGCACCTTGAGCAGGTATGGATGGGGTTTTCTGAGCTTCTTCTCTCATCCCCCAAGCTGGGGAAGGGGTTGGACCTTGTGTTGAGCAGGACAGGCACAGGTTTGGTTTCATGGACTGTGGTTGAGAGCTGAGGTGTCACCACAAATCACAGAATATACAACATGTTTCTTAAAGCCTGCACCAGCTCCTTTGAGCTATAGGTGTGCATGAAATATTTCTTGGTGTCTCTCAGAGAAGCGTCCTGACCTCTCCTTTCTCTCTCTCTTCATCTAGGTTTGGAAAGGAAAACTTCCAGCAGCCCACGTTGCTTCTTCCAGAGCTGGAAAATAAAATCAGTCTCTTCAGGGAGAAAAATATTGCTCTAGAGGAGACTCTGAGGAACTTCAAAGGTATTGAGCAAGGATAGGGATAGGAAGATGGAGCAATGTCTGCGGGAGCACAAATTGCATCCACTTAGAGCATAAATCATATTTATTGGAATTGGTGGGGTGAATTGTGATGGACTTTTTGGAGATGAAACACTGGTTGGGCAAACCCCAGGTGCTCTTCAGGCTGCTTCTATAACAGGAATCCGGGCTGCCTGCCTTTGTAGAGTTGCCCAACCTTTTCCAAGTGAGAAATGTGAGATCCAGCTGGCTCCACCTGCACTGTGATGTGGATCTATGCTGAGATACCCCCCTAAAACTGCCTCTGTGCTGGGAGGAAGCCTTCAGAAAAAATAGAGCACAAAGCTGGGGGGAGGTCCTGGTCCCTGGCAAGGACACCCAAAGGTCCTGGATTGCATTTACACTTCAGTGTGAACATCAGCATCTTCTCCCATACACAAACTCAACACTCCTTCCCACTTTGATTCAGAAAGCTCTAGCTGAAAACCAACTCAAATTAATTTTTAATTTTAGCTTCCAGGCAACTCTGCTCCCCAGCATGTGGTGAGTAGTGGGTTGTCACTTTTTGGGGGGCAACCTGCTTTTAAAATGATTTTGAAATCCCTGGTTGGGGGAATAGCATAGAAAATAGTCCTAATCCTAAACTTTTCTCATTTCCTTTTGGTCTTCTTGGATTGTGTACCACATTTCTTCCATCTCCCTGCAGACATCTCACACAAGGTGTGATCTGAGCAGGGCAGAACAACCTCTCTGCTTTCATATTCACACTGATACCAGCATGTTATATCAAATAGATAATGTCTCTTTTTCTCCATTCTGTTTTAGACATCCTGATGTTTGAGCTGCCTGAAAAGAGTAAGTCCAAGTCTCCTGGAGCTGAGGGAGTGGGAAAACCCTAGGGAAGGCTGAGCCCAGCATGGGATGGGCCATGAGTTGGAGGCTCATTTGGGGAAGATGCCTCTGTGTCTGAATGACAAAATGAGAGGGAGGGGGGAAAACATCATAAGGAGTCGGGGAAGCACCATAAAGAGTCAGGGAATCCTCACCACAAGGTGTTGATGGATTCATTTCTCTCAATGCTAAGTTATGTGAAGGTCAACTCTGTTCCTCATACCTGTATGTTCAGGGACCAAATGCCCAGTTTGGCATTTTTTGAGCCAAAAAGTCTCCTGTGCTTGGGGTTTACTCTCTTAGTCATTGGTAAGCTTCTGATGTTTACCTGGGTCCTGTGGAATAGGGAAAGCAACCAACATCAGAAAGGGGTAGAGCATCCCAAGGGATGGGGTGAATGATGCTGCAGGACCTCCCTGCTCAGCCCCAGCAGCAAGGCAGAGCCTGGAGCCATGGGGAAATGTTTTGGTTTCCTTTTCCAGTGAATGTGACCCTGGATCCAGCCACAGCTCACCCCCAGCTTGCCGTGTCGGAGGACAGGAGGAGCGTGAAGTGGGAAGATGCCCAGCAGGACGCATCCGATGAGGGATTTGGCCCCGATCCTTCTGTTCTGGGCTGCGAGGGCATCACCTCGGGGAGATGCTGCTGGGAGGTGGAGGTGACACCCAAAGGCTCCTGGGCTGTTGGTGTGGCCAGGGAGTCTTTGAAGAGGCGAGAAGAGACCCCTGTGAGCCCTGAGATTGAACTGTGGTCTATGGGTCTGTGTGAGGACCAGTTTTGGGCTCTCACCTCCTTTGAGCGCACGCCGTTATCCCAAATCCAGGTCCCTAGAAGGGTCCGGATCACCCTGGACTATGAGAGGGGTCAGGTGGCGTTTTTTGATGTCGATAGGAAGGCCTTGATCTTCATTTTCTCAGCAGCCTCGTTCAAAGGGGAGAGTGTTCACCCCTGGTTCTTGGTGTGGAGCGAGGGGTCTCGGATCACATTGTGCCCCTGAAACACTCCCTTCTTACCCAAACACAAATTTTATGTCCCCAACACCCCCGGTTCTAGCACTTTGGAGGACTCCTACCAAATTCCTACTAGGCCTTTCTGGCCTCTTCCCATTCTCAGTGACCCCAAAGGGCTAAGCATCTCTGTGGGTTGATGTCCCAAACTGTAATTGCCAGTTTGGGGTATCGGTGGCTGACAGATGGAGCCACTTCTTCCCCAAAACGTCTTGCACCAGACTGGCAGCTTCTCCAGTCTTAGGGTTTCAGATGAAGTAAAAAGGTTTACATGCTGTGACGTTCTTCTGTCTGGTTATTCACTGCTTCTGGATGTCAGGTTCACGGGGATTAAAGGGAAGCCACCGGGATTGGCATGGGTTTCTCTTATCTGTAGAGGTCAGCATGTTTTTTTTTCTAGGCTGGGTGCTGTACATTCAGTACAACAGATGGAGAAAATCAGGGACATTTATGCTTCTGAGTCATCTGACAGATTTGAAGCATGACCACAAGAATGAGGGAAATCACATCTGCAAAATTTGTTGGCCATTTTTGGGGGGACTGGGCTTTTGGCTGATTAAGTCTCATTGCTGGTTCCATTGCACAGAGGCTATGAGTTGGCTGTGCCTGCACCCAGAAAGGTCCACAAGCCTCAAGAAGTGGCCTAGAGACATCCTCGACAGCCACATGCCACACTGATCCCCTGTCTACTGTCAGTCTCAACCAGAGACAAAGACATGGGGGAAGGAAATATTTTATTATTAATGATTCTTACAGAGTTCTGAGGCTTCAAATATCAATAATTTGAGGAAAAGGAAGAAAATGGTTGAAATTCAGGAGCAGCTTGGCTGTGGGTGAACTTTCCATCATAAACATCTCAACTGGCCGCCTTTTATAAGGGAGGAACTCTGTTGTAGGGTGATTTTCCCATGCAACTAATGGGATGTTGGAGGAGGATCCATCTGCACAGATACATTTGGGGTTGGTAGCATTTTGGCTAGGCTCTGCCAACTGGGCCTCATGATTCCTCCCCACCCACACATTATAACTTTTACTGATCAGTTTTATGCAATTAACCCTCTTTTTCCCCAAATTGGTTAGATTAAAACATTGTCTTGGGGGTTTAGCTAAAAGCTCCAGCCAGAATTAACATTTTTGCTTACAATGTCTAGGCAAAATTTTACATCCAGCTCCCCATTTAAAAAACAGGCAGATAAACACAAAGAGAGAGGCAAGAAATTAAAAAGCTCTTGAGATTTGAGATGAGGCCTCAAGGTTTTATACAATACTCCCAAGTGAACAACATATCTTGATTTTTTTATTTTTAAAAAAAAAAGCAAAATTTGGACCACTTGGTTCGAACATGATCATCTCAGATAGGGACAACTCTATTTGATCAAGGAAATCTGATATAAACTTGATATAAATGTGATATAAATGCTGGGGAATTTTGCTTTTCTGCCACTGTAGGTTTTTTCCTTTTGCCCACCATTTTCCACTTTCACACCCCAGGTCCCCTCTGCAGCACTTTTCCTTTTTTTTTTTTTTTTTCTTTTTTCCCCACTTTCCTCACCAATATCAACCCCCTAGTCTCATGGGGGTGAAAGACATTTAAAAGCCAAAGTCCCCTCATTTCTTCTGTTCCCTATGGCCCCAAGAGAAGCACAGGAGGCAAGCAGTTGTCCAACAAGGATATGGAAATTGGGGGGTGCTGATTTCTGTGTCTCAGGGACATAGCCTGAGCTGAGACCTGGCGCCCACCACCCAGAGCCACGGGCGGACCCTCTCCCCAGTGAATGAAGCTCGGGAAAAAATGAATATAAGCCCCCCTTCGTCGGCATCAAAAAATGCCACTGTCCCTCCAGCATAGTCCAGGTGGACGCTGACCCTCCTGGGCAGCACCCGCAGGGGTAGGAGGGTCACCTTGCGGGTGGTGAGTGCCCGGACCTGTCCCCCCCACTTCTCCACCCCCCAAATCCCCCCTTTGGGGCAGAGGCTGAGTTGTCCCTTCCGAGCGATGGACTCTTTGGCCACCCCAATGGCCCAGTCCCCTTCGTCCCCCACCTCCACCTCCCAGCAGTGCCGGCCGGTGGCGAAGCTCTGGTAGCCCAACACGAAGGGCCAGTAGTCGAATCTCTCGGGGTTATCAGGCAGGTCCTGCCGTTCTTCTCCACGTCTCACGCTCTTTTGGTCTTCGGAGAGGATGAGGTCGGGGTGAGCCGTGTCGGGGTCCAAGGTGATGCTGGCTGTGGGGTGGAGGACAAGGTGTGTGAGGAGCAGGGTTGAGGCCTTGAGGATATGGGGGGGCTACAAAAAAAACATGGGCACACTGGAGATAATCAACAAAGGGCTATGAAGAGGATTAAGGAACTGAGCATCTCTCCTATGAAGAGAGGATGAAAACTGGGCCTGCTCAGCCTGGAGAAGAGGCCTCTCAATCCCATAAGGGAGGTGCAGAGAGGACAGGCCCAAACTCTTCTCAGTGGTGCCCAGTGTCAGGACAAGAAGCAATGGGCACAAACCAGAATGCAAGAGGTTCCATCTGAACATCAGGAAGTGCTTCTTCACTGTGCAGACCAAGCACTGGCACAGGTTTCACAGAGAGTTGTGGAGTCTCCAACCTAGAAGATCTTCAAAAGCCATCTGGGCATGGTCCTGGGCAACCTACTCTAGGTTGGTCCATATGGACCCAGAGGTGCCTTCCAACCTCAAACACTCTGTGAGGGGACCAGCAAGACTCAGGCTGGCATCAGAAGGGCAAAAAGTTCCTGAAGCAGAAGGTGAAAGGAGCACGGAGGCCAACACATGCAGGGCTGTACACAAAGCAGAAAGACTGTTTTGAAGCCCCAAACCACCAACAAGACAAGGTGCACAGTGGGTATAGTAATAACAGGCTCATGCAGATATTTTTGCTGACTTTCTGCTGCATTGACCCAAAAGAAATGCTGAGGAGAGAAAAAAAAAATTCAAGGAAAGCAATACATGGGATGTAAAACAGCAAAGTCTCGAGTACTTCATCTCCTAGAGCAAGCACCAACTGTAGGACAAGGCCAGACTGGTTCAGCTAACCCTGTGGTTTAAAAAAGAGCTAAAATCTGAACACAGGGCTGATGAATGAGGTCAACCCACTTGCCATATTTGTTTCAGGGAAATGGTTAGGTATCAAGGCAAGGGCTCTGCCCTGGGGCAAGCTTCCTTGAGCGTTACACCGAGATTCTGGCTGCAGGGCTAAGAAAACTCGTTTGGTTGCCCCGATTTTTTGTATTCTTCCTTCAGCATCTATTTTTGACCAATTTGGACATGGTTTATGGGTCTAGGCACACCTTTGTCTAACAGGTACGGCTGCTTTAGTTTCTCATCCTCAGCAGAAGGCAATTTGGGGATAGGCAAGGCTGGAGGGGAGCAGAGACAGACAGCAGCCCATCCATGAACATTTTTCAGGAATTGCAACAAAACATATGTAATTAAGAGTGTGGCAAATGAAGCATTAAGTCATGTGGGTCTCAATTTGTCATTTCTTTTGCCCAGGAATAGCTTTTGCTCTTCCATCTCAGGTTCTCTGCAGTATTTATGTTCCCAAAGAGTGTCCAGAATGAGCTACGGGCAGGTCAGCTCTTCCAGCTCTTACCAAAATACATCCAATCTATTATTTTTTTCCCTCCTATAACCCTTCTCAGTACCTTGAAGCTTCTTCAGGGTTTCCTTCAGAGCACTATTCCTCCACGAGAAATGACAGAATCTCTCTTCTGGCTCTGGAGAAACATTCACTGGCAACTGGAAAGTCACTTTCCCACACCTGGAGAAAAAGCACCACCACAAATTCCAGAGTGATTGTCATAGAGAATGTCACCATTTCAGGAGATCTGATGCCACGAGGAATGAGGTGATGGTGATGCTCATCCCCTTGACAACCCAAACCTCAAGAAAAGCAAACGCTGAACTTCCTTGCTTGGATTAATTAATTCATTACTTTTTGATAGAGAAAGGCCCTGCTTGGACAGAGTAATTAAGAGAGAAGAATCAAGCTATTGCAGTGAATTAAAACTAGCCTTTGCCATATGGAGGTTTAATTTTGAGACTAATGCTCCTTTGATAATTTTAACCCCAAAATGGTCAAGAAAGGATCAATTGGGAAGAACAGATACAAACACATAGCAGTGGTCCCCAAAATACCCTTCCAGACTCTTGCAATTTCCCTGAAGCAGAAGAACATCCAGCAGCCAGTGACGAGTTTTCTCCTCTATGGTCATTGCTTGTTGAAAAACTCAAGAAACAGCTTTTCAGAGAGACTACATACCTGGTAACGAGGCTTTTCGCATCCTAGGGACAGAAGAGAGAAAGAAGAAAGGAAGCTCAGGTTGCCGTGTGAGCCATCTTCTACTTAAATCACAGAATTACTGAATTGTCCAGCTGGGGATGAATCCTAAAGATTTTCCCTTGAAAAAATTTCCCTTCTCTCACCCAGAGGAATTCACTCACCGATTGCTGGCTCTTCTTATCCTGTGTTTTTGTCAGGCTGTCCAGCTGGGAAATCTCCTCCGAGAGCTTGGTGGTGGCTTTTGCTTGCCTCTTCTCAATCTCATTTTTCAGGTCTTCCAGCTGTGAAAGCAAAAAGAGCTCATGTCCTCCTGGGAACCTGCAGCGTACCTAAAATCCAAGCACGGTTTGCCAGGGCTCAGCTTCTCTCCTTCCCTTTGAAGATGCAAACAAAGGAGCAGTGGGATGGGAAATACCACGAGGAACTCATGGAGAGGCATTTGCCACAGGAGGAGCTCACCGTTCAGCCTGAATCCCTACCAACTTTTTGCTGAATTCCTGAAGAAATCAGAGGGGTAGAATCAAACTTGAAGCTTAAAAGAAAAAAAAAAAAAAAAGGCAACACAGATTTGGGAGGAAAGATGGTCCCTGCTGATAAAAGCCACAATCAGCTTTGCATGAATTTGGGCAGAAGGCTCTGATGGTCCTAGGCTTAACAACACAGAAGTGCTGCAAAGGAGCCAAAAATGATCTAAAGAAATGATCCTAAAGATGATATCTTACTGCCCAGGGACTGACAGGTCAGGGAGGCTGACACCTACCAGATCCTCCAGTTTTCTGCACTCCAGGGTAGCTCTCCTTCCTCGGAGACCTTCTCTCGCTTCCTTCAGAAAACCTAATATCCGTCTGAATTTCTTCTGAAGCGAACTAAAAAAACCTGTTGTTTTTATCCCTTTGATGGGGCTGGATCCTTCTCTTCCTGTTCCTCCCCAGTCCTGGGCTCACGAGTGTGTTGAGCCTGCAAGTCTGCTCTTCGCGCCATGTCTCCTGGGCAAGAGGTGGTGACACCCTTGGTCAGACGTGCTGGGAGCGTTGGGTTTCTTCCTTGTCAATCTTCCAGCTTCTTATCCCGGGGAGACGTTGAGGGCTATCACCTCGTTGTTTTTGTCATCTTCCTTTTAGGAAGAAACCATCAGCCTTCCCTGGAAAAAGGGCTGGAGGCAGAAGACATTTGGGCTGCCGGGGGGGGGAGGAAATTTTGAGGCTTGGTGGGGGTGTGGATGGGGAAAACATAAGAAAAACAGGAGGGAGATGTGCAGCCAAAACCTTGGAAGAGGGATTGCAACTGCATGCATGCAAAGGAGCAGTAGTCCAGGTCCTTGGGATGTCTTTTGCATCCCATTATTAAGCCATAACATGCCCCCCAAGAAGCACTGCCCTGGCTCTTAGCTCACAGGGAAATATTTCCAAGCAACCTCTAACCCACTGGCTTTGTGTTAAGCTCAGTGGCTAAATACTTATGTGTTTTTTTTTGTTGTTTTTTTTTTTTTTTTTAAATTATTATTATTATTTGCATCACTTGGCCGGGTTTGGAGAGGCGAGTCCCATTTCCAGCAAACTATTCCCATCAGGAAGAGCCCCAGGGGAGTCGCTTGCTCTGGGAGCTGAAGGACTGGAAGCAAAAACCCTTCAAGCATTTCCCAGGGAAACGTGGCCTGGGGTGAGCAGCTCGGGTTGCTGCTGCCTTCCCTGCCAGTCTCAGGAGGTGGGTGCAGAGGGGTGGACGGGGGCAATTAATGAGTCATCTCCGTCTGAGCAGGGCTGCTTTGCTCTTTGGAGGAGAACAGCTCCTCAGCATCAGCAGAGCCTGGGGCACAGCTCCTTTCATCTCCAGATGAGGTGCCTAAGGTTGGGCACCCTAAAAAGGGTCGGGTCTACTTCTCCCTGCTGATTAGGGAGCCTGGAAAACCAGCTGGGGTGGAGACCATCCGCATTGCAAATTTCGGCAGCAGAGCGACACCCTGGAAGGGGGTTGGAGCTGGGAGAGGGCTGGATGGAGATCAGAGGCACCGAGGGATTCTGTGGCCCTAAAGTTAAAAGAAAATGGGTCTCTATCTCCCAAGTCTTACTGGAACTCGATGTTTTGTCTCGTGTTTCTCAGCAGCTGCTGCTTCTTAGAGGAGCTTGGTGGGACCACAGCACCCCAGGGACCACCAGCAACCCGCAAGCACATCCTTGCAGAGCAGACTGAGATCTTTTCCCCTTCTTCACCCAAATTTCTCCTCCGTTCCTTGCTGCAATGACAGCCTGTCATTTCATAGCCCCTCTGCCTTTCCTAGCCGGACTTGGTTTGGTTTCAGGATTCAGACACAACACACAGGGTGACAAAGATCACAAATGGCTTCAGACCCCTCCCTGGCAGAGATAAGGGAAAGGGAATGAGATAGGACAAAGAGCAAAAACCTTCAAGGCCATTTGAACTAAAGTCTTTCCCCACAGCACTAATTGTACCTGCTTTTTCATTTTTATTTTTATTTTTATTTTTATTTTTATTTTTATTTTTATTTTTATTTTTATTTTTATTTTTATTTTATTTTATTTTATTTTTATTTTTATTTTTATTTTTATTTTTATTTTTATTTTTATTTTTATTTTTATTTTTATTTTTGTTAATCCTCATGCCCCAACTCCTGCCCCAACTTCAGGTTTTCTAGCTTTGCAGAAAGCAGATTTTCCTTCCTACAGTGAAATTCTTTGTGCTTCCCAACTGATGGGACCAGGTAATGCATGAAGTTGAAGGACATGCATGAAGGAAAGATATCACAGCACAGCAAATATCACTATCAAGATACCAGCCGTAAATCTGCCCTTACTGAGACCTGTGGGTATGGTGAGATGGGGTTTTGTCATAGTGAGCCCACTCATATCTCATCTGTTATTCTGAGCCTGATGTCGCCCGCTCCCTCCCACTCTCTCTTTTGGTTCCTCTTCTTGGTTCTATAATCAATAACCTGTTTTTTATTTCAGAGATGCTGCTTCCTCTTTTGGGTTTCCTTAGAAGAACATCAGTTTTTGAGGGAATCCGCGTAGGTGAGCTAGAGAAAAATGTAAGCACTTGTATTTTGCTTGTTCGTTCTGGTTGTTTTTTATAGTTGAGAAACATCTAACTGGTATAGTTGAGGAGCCTCCAGTAAAAATTATCCCATCTTATTCCTCCTCAACAGCCAACAGGGAGAAATTGGATTTTCTTGGGAGTATCCAGGAATATGAAGATGTGTAATGGTGTGGAAAAGTGCCTTTGAGGTGGGTTTATTCCCTTTCACTGCCTGCAGAGGGGGCTTGAGTAACTGGAAAAGGTGGAAAGGTAAGCAAGGTGTCCCCAACCTGTGCTGCTTTTCTTAATTTTTTTGACTAAAGACAAATCCAGAAAAATACATCCATAGAGAGGCAGAAAATGGAGAGTGCAACACAACTTTTTTTTTTTTTTTTTTTAATTCAAAATAAATATCAGAGATCTAGACAGAGATAGAGACCAGCTCCCCACACCAAACCAGGCATTGCTATTTGTGGCGAAAGGCCACCTCCTTTTGCAGAGCAGACTCTGGATCTGCCTCGCAATTGATGTTGGAAAGAAAACAATTTGGAAAAAGATATATATAGGAGGATTCAGTCTGTTAAAGGCAGAATAAATAAGATCACATGTTTGAAAGCCCTGGGTGTTCTCCTTTCTCGATCAACCCCTTTGTTCCCTTCATCCCTCATAATGGTTGATCCTTCTTCCTCACTGCTGTCTGATGGTGTCCCCATCTCCCCATCCTTACGTAAAGGTTCTATCCCAAAGCTCCTGATGGAGAGGGACACGGGGGGCAGAAGCAGCAAGCCCCCTTGGCACGATGGCCCAAGCAACCACAGCAAACAGCTGGCATCACACAGGAGATGTCCCTTTCGTTAAGAATTGACGGACATCTCAAGGACAAATCCGGAGGGGAGACCTGAACCCAACCCAATCCAGAGGGGACATCAGCTGCCCGGTCATGGACTGCTCCTCTGAGGATGAGTTTTGGGTGATTTCTTGCAAGCGGGCCCCCATCCCCATCTTGAACCAGGGGAGGACCCTCTCCCCGTTGAATGCAGCCCTGCTATAGACCAAGATAGGAGCATCATCATCCGAGCTGAAAAACGCCACCCGACCCCCTTCGTAGTCCAAGGAGACTCGTATCTTCCTGGGAAGCTGGTTCAGACGCACGTTGGCACGGGGGGATGTCAGGGAGTGATAAGCCTCCAGCGCCCAAATGCCCTCCTTGGGGGTGAGGCTCATGGGTCCCTTCCTCTTCGCGGTCTCTCGGGCCACCCCTATAGCCCAGACACCCCCCTGTCCCACCTCCACCTCCCAAAAATGCCTCCCCGAGGTGAAACCCTGGCAGCCCAGCACGCAAGGCTCGAAGTCGAATCTCTCTGGGTTGTCCGGGAGGTCCTGGGGCACCAGTTGGCCCCTGACTTGTTTTCGGTCCTCGGAGAGATGGAGGTTGGGGTGAGCCGTGGCTGGGTCCAGGGTCACGTTGGCTGCAGGAGAAGAGAGAACGAGAGTAATAGAGGTAGAACTTGGCGTTGGGAGAGGCTGGAGATGTTTCTCATGGGGAGAGGACAGCTAGAAATTCACTGGGGGAGATGGGGAAGCACAAATGCTCTTAGGTGTTCCCTCTTCCTGGCCCCCAGAGGGGTATTTGGCTTTATAGGACCACATCACAACCCTGGATGCAACCAGGAGCATCACAACATCAGGCTGCCACCCCCCTTCCCTTTCTTCCCCCTTCTCTCCCTGTGGGATCACACTGTTTTTCCCGTTGGGATCTCTTCCACAAGCCATAAACCACCCTCCCACCCCCCTACCAGCCATTATCGACTTACTTGGCTCTTGCAATTTAAACATCAGGCTATCTAAAAAGGAGAGAGATTTCACAGCATCAGGGTTATGTATCAGGCAAATTGCCTGCAGAGTAGCTTTATTGTTCAGGCTGGGGAGCAAAACAGACAAAGGGGAGGCAAAAAAGCTAAAAGGAAAGCTTGGAAAGGGAAATATTGAGGATGTAGGGGCTTGGCTGTGTAAAATCTCTGGGTTGACTTGCTCGGGTGATACTGTAAGATCCACACAACTCTCCAAAAGCTGGGGGAGATGAATCTCCTAGCAAGGCTAAATTCATCTCCAAGAGGCACTAGGAGAGCAATTTATCCCACCATTGTAGCATCCCTCCCTGGCTTTGTACCCACAAGAAGTTTCCCACCAGTTTGGAAGGGAACAACTGCATTATCATCTCCATTTGAATTTTTACATGGGACTAGGGAGAGAAACCTCCTCTGAGCATGTTTTTTTTTATTATTATTATTATTACTATTATTTTTTAAATTATTTCTATTTTTATTTTATTTTTATTATTTTGTTCCTTATTTCTGTTTCCCCACCAATTCATCTTTACCCCAGGAAAAACTTCCAATGTCCTTCTCTGGTTAAGTCTCAGCTGCATTTATTTACAGCAGTTCCTGGGTGGGTTTTGCATTAGCAGCCAGCACACAAGAACCCAATTTCTCCCCAATATCAGGCACGGGAAGCAACCTGCCCTCTCCTGACCCTGCTTGGTACCTTGGCATTTCCTCAGCGTGCATCTCACGAGGACATTTTTCTGAAGAAAGTCCTCAAGTCTTCTTTCCAGATGGGGAGAAATCTCCACTGGAGGGTTGAACTTCATCACCTCACAGCTGCAAAGAGGGCAAAAGGGTGGAGATGTGGGGGAACCCTATGTGATATACCTGAAATCTGAACTCAGGATTTGCCCAGGTGGCTTCCAAACCTCTCCAAACATCAGAGTGAAGTGAAAATGAGGAGCCGTGTTACCTTTTCAAGAGTCTTCTGACGTCCTAAAGGTGGGAAGAGAGAGGAAAGACAGTCATGGAAGAGGAACACCAAAGACTGCTTTTTCTCTCAAAGTTTATATATTTTTATGGCAATGCAGTAGTAAAGAACAACCCTGCCCATGTGATGATCCCAGCTGTAATATACCAGGGAGCTCACACGGAGCTGAATTTGGGCTCACAAGTCTTAGGGTTTGCTCTCTCCCTCCACTTCCCACCAGCCCTTATACTTTGGGCTCTCACCAGCAGGAATTTGCTCGCCGGCTGCTGGAATTTCCCCTCCATCTCCCAAATCAGGGTGTCGAGGTGGGCCATCTCCTCCGAGACCTTCACCACCGCTTCCTCCTGCACCCTGGTGATGGCCCGGTCCAGATCTGCCAGCTGGGTCAGGAGGAGGCGCTCTTGGTCTTTCAAAAATTGGTGCAACTGCTCGAATTCACACACTATTTTCTTCCCTTCGTTTTTGGTTTTCTCCTGCCAGGATGAGAGAAAAACAAAGAGATAAGAGGGGCAGGAGACCTCTCCATGCAGCAGATGTGCCCACCACAATCTTTACAGATGGCCAAACCTTCCCTCGTGGATTATTTTTGAGTGTAGTTTCTCTTGATGGGATATTTCTGGAATTAACAGGGTTTGTCTTTACGCAGGCTACAACAACCCCATCCCATTGTGGAAGGAAAACAGCTGGAATTGGAGTTGCCTTGGGCGTGAGATGGGCAGGGAAGGAGGGAGGGCTACCGAAAAACCTCACCACACCCAAGTAAAACAGATTATTGCTTCAAGGCCGTGGGGTTGGTGTCAGGATCCCATGTCCTGGGAGATATTCAGATAATGCAGGGGTGAAATTAACACCAAAACAAACAAACAAACAAACATAAAACATCTTGCTGGGAATTTAGGGACCGGGGACAATTTGGGAGGCTCAGCCTGGAAGCAAAACCAAAGGAGGAAATTGGAAATGAGCACTGTAAGAAGAAGATTTACAGAATTTAGGAAGAAAAACTCCCAGCCCATGCATCTGTAGGCTCCCTCCTCTCCTGGAGCTCTGTTCCTCCTTGCAGGGGAGCTGCAATGCTATCTCCCCGGCACAGCCTGTTGCGAAACGCCGGCAGATAAACCCAGGCTTGGCTGCCTCCCAGCTCAAACAGCAAACCCCTCCGCAAGCCAAGGATGCAAGATCCAGCCTCAAAACACACCAGCAAAACCGGGGTTGGGTGGAGAAGGAAAAGAAACCCTCCACCAGGGCAACCTACCAAGTGCAAGTTTTTCCTTGCTCTGGATTTTCTGCTTTCCAGGTATTTTTCTCTCTCTTCCTTTAAAAGCTCGAGGCGAGCCTGGATTTCTTCCTGTGACAGAATAAAAAATGTAAATGGAAGAGATGGGAGAAATATATATATTTTTTCTACTTAAACACCTTCCCCCCCTTGCATCAGGTGGGGGAGGATTTGTACAGGCACAGAGCTGGGGGATGAGGAAGGTTCGTGAGCAAGCTGTGCTGTTCTGGAATTATTTGCAAAGTAAATGCAACCTGCAAACACCAACCTTGCTGCAAGAACAGCAAAAAAAAAAATCTTCAAGAGAGCACAACGCCAGCAGAAATCAACAGCTGATGGGAGGCGTGCAAGAGCAAGATAACCACATAGTGAGATTTTGCTCAAAAACACTCCCAGCTTCCCGTAAATGGTGGCTCAGGGGTGCCTGATGCTGTATTTAATAGCCTTTAGTGAACTTGCTTAATGTTTGGTGTGCAAGGAAATGAGAAAAGGTTTGGATCCGGGGGAAAAGAGAAAAGGAGCAGAGAGAAGGGGAAAAGGCAGCAGAAAATTGTTTCTCTGTATGGGAAATTAAAGACACAAGGAGGAGGGGAACAAAAAATGCAGAATTGCCTTGAATAACTGATTTAATCATGGGGAGAAAAAATGAAGAATTCCTGAGCATTTTCCCTTATTCTGGACATTACTCATAGTTGATATTCAGCACCTCTGACTCAACAGCTACGTAGCTTTTTTTTTTCTTTCTTTCTCCACAGCTGTAGGTGAAGGTCAATAAATTGAAGGAGGGATGGGGTGGGAAATCCCCATGGGAACACTGCAAAGAGCCAAAGGTGCCAGTAACAAAACGCAAACGGGAAGCCTGTGGGTGACACCCGAAGATCCCCGTTGGCATCTGCACCACGGGGGGTGGGTGGATGCATGCAGAGGGCTGCGTTTTGCCCTTGCCAAGGGATTTTTGGTGTGCTGGGAAAGCTGCAAGCACATCCCAGTGCTTTACCTTGTACTCCTGGGCAGCTTCTTCGGCGGGGAGCACGGTGTGGAGGCGGTGAGCTTGGGACCGGTCGCACACCATGCAGATGGGCTGCTGGTCCTCCTTGCAGAAGAGCTTCAGAGCCTCCTGGTGCTGCTGGCACCAACCCTCGTGCCCCGCTGCTCCTCTGCCTGCTTGCAAGCTCAGCTGCTGGGCGATTTCGGCGATCTTGGCCAGCTCCCTGCTGGGACGGAAACTTTTGTGCGAAGCCGTCTGCCTGCACTGGGGGCAGGAGAAGTTGGCCTCCAGCCCTTCCCAGCAGCGGGTGATGCATTCCCGGCAGAAGTTGTGGCCGCAGGGGATGGAGACGGGCTCCTGGAAATAGCCCAGGCAGATGGAGCAGGAGGCTTCGCCTTGCAAGCTCTCCGAGGGGCTCTGCGAAGCCATGGCTCTGCCTCCGGGAGAGGATCACCGCTCTGCAGGAAGAAGAGGGGCCCCTTCCTCTTTCTGCCGGGGGAGTTTTATCAGGGAAATCCGTCCCCAACCCCAAACACCACCAAACAGGAGAAGGAGGCTGGGGAGGACAAGCGCACGCCGGGTTTCCTCCTCGCCTCCCCGCGGTTTTGGCTCAATGCCTTCCTCAGCCAGATGAGGCTTGGAGGGCAGGGCACTGGGATGGGCTGGAGAAGTGGTTGAAAACTCCTAAAATTTGGGGATCTCAGGGGGTGACCGTGAATAAAAGGTGGGATCACGCAGCAAAGGTCTTAAACCCACAGGGGGCTGCGTTAGCAAAGTGGTGGGGAGAGGGGAGGCTTTGATTTCCTCCACCAGCACATCTGAGGCTCCTCGTGGGGGACTGGGACCAGGCTGTGGCTCCCCAGTAAGGGTCAGACAGGGACTGGCTGCCAAACTGGATGGGAATGAAGCCCAGGATGGATGGGGAGAAAATTCAGGTTTATCACCTCCCAGTGCAGCAGGGTACGGAGGGTGAAGACGGTGATTTCTCCCCCCTTCCTGTTATGTTAACCAACCTCCCGAGAAAACCAAGAAGAAATACGAAACAGAAAAAGAAAGCACACGGAGCACAAATTCCTCGAAATCACCTGTTTGCTTTTAATTCCCCATCAGTACCAGTTTACAGGAAGCCAGTCATTTAATGATTAAACAATCTTTTTTTTTTTTTTTTTTTTTTTCTGTGCCTTAGGGAAGAAGGTTGAGGTGAGTGCAGCCATCTGCCGAGAACTGTGGGTGGATTTTCTTCCCCTTGAAAGAAGCTGGGAGACAACTAAATATTTTTGAGTTGCTCACAGCATCAAAAAAAAAGCCCTCATTCTCCCTTCCTGATAGTCCAGGGTGATTTGTATGTGCTGGGGGACCTTGTGCAAGCTCAAGGGTTTCCATATTGTAGACTTGGTAGAGCACAAAAAAGTCAGCAAAATAGACAACATGATCACACATCACCCTTGTAGACATTCTTTGATTTGCTTCATCTGGTGTTTGGATCACATAAGGAGCCACCAGCACTGGCCACAGACTTGTTCTTGGATGATGCTTGGTTTTGATAGAAGGACCACCTACCTGCTCAAGTTGTTTTTAATGTCCTAAAAGAGAGGAAAAAAAAGCCTTAGTGTCCTGGAATTCCTCCCCTTGGACTACCGAGGGCCCCACTCTGATGATGTCCCATTTCTAGTAATTTTGATATGAAACCAAGAGCTGGAGAACCAGCTGGTGCTCAGCCGGTGCCTTCCCAACAATTTTGGGGTCTCACCTTCAGGATTCCACATCCTGGCTGCTGGCATTTCCTTTCCACCTCCTCAATCAATGCGCCCACTCTCAACAGCTCCTCTGAAAGCCTGGTGAGGGTTTCTTTCCCTGATTTCTGTATTTCCATGTGCAGATTTTCCAGCTGGGAGAGGGAACAGGCCCCCTTCTCATCCTGGTTTTCATTCTGCTTTTCATCTTCCATCCTCTTCTGCCAGGGGAAAGCCAAAACATGTAAAGAACAACAAACAGAGAGAACAAGACAGGAGCATCGGGAGTCAGTGGTGGTTCATGCATCCAGGTGGACTTGGGGAAGACACAGAGATGATCCCCTTTCCTTACACCCCTTGAGCATCGCACACCCACTGGAGAGAGGAGGAGGATGAATTCCCCCTCTCCTGCCCCATCCCCTGCCAAGGAGAAGCTGTGGATGTCCCATCCCTGGAGGTGTTCAAGGCCAGGTTGGACGGGACCTTGGCCAACCTGATCTAGTGAGCTGGGACTCGGTTATTTTTAAGGTCCCTTCCAACCCGAGCCATTCTATGATTCTTCTAAGACACTGCCTGAACTGAGATCCAGCCCCTCTCTAGCATGGCTTAAGGCAGAATATTTCTGTATATTGCTGGAAAGTTACAGCTATTCTTTCTGGAGCCATCTGGGGAGGAAGAGAATGGGAGACACACATCCCATTTTGACCCTTCTCTAAAAGATGCTGGGCTCCAAAGCCTGTCCTTCAAATCAGCGCAGGCCTGGTGACACACGAGCAGCTCGAGCAGGAGTTTTACAGCCTGTTAGAGCACTTAAAAGAGTTCATGGTGCAGCTGGGATGGGAGACAACCTTGAACTGAAAGGGCTTCTGAGATATTGGGAGTGACAAGACCAGACCAGGCAATTGGAAGGACCTCAGCACCACACCTGTATCTCTATAGAGGTATTGGGGAGGACTTGGAGATCTCTTGGGTGACCCTAAAGGTTCAAGCATACAGCTTTCTGCCCATCCACTGGGTGCCAGAAGCAATTTCTCCCTTTGGGGTGAGGTGGGACTTCAGACTAAGACCCCTCAGAGATGCTATGCACCAAAGATGCTCGCATGTCCCTGGAGATTGCTCGTGAGACCACCAAGACCTTGCAAGATCCCAGCAGTTTTCTCTTGATCCTAGAGGGCAGAAAAGCCACCAGGATTTGCTGAGCTGAGGGGTGGCACAGCACCATTTTCCCAATTTTTCTCTGACAAGCAAGAGAAAAGCTCTTGAAATATTGAAAGACACCAAAATAGAGATTTTTTTTTTTTTTGCACACCGTTGACATATAGAGAGGACTGCCTACTAAACTCCCTGACCCAAATGTCTCTAGATAAATTTCAGAAGGCAGTGTTGGAACTCTTCCTATTCATCTTCACTCCTTCAGCTTCTGATTTCTCCCACCCCACCACTTGGATAACCCCAGCTGAAACTGATGGGTTTCAGCTCCAAAGCCTCAAATTATCAACATTCTTGCCAATGCTTTGGCAATTTTAGCTCATGGAAAGTAGCAGTTAAGACACTTAACTCAAGGGAATCCTTTTTTCCTTTCTAGCAACTAAACCAGGAACCAGAGGCAGCTTCTTCAGCCCTGCAGGAATTTCATATCAGAGATCAAGGTTCATCAATGAAACCAGCGTGCCCGGGGCTGTTGCATAGATTATAGGCTTCATTTTGCTGCTCCTCCCAGGGTGATATTCCCTAGTAAAATCTCAGAGTACCCAGATATTAAAAAAAAAATAATCCAGAGATCTGCCCAGTGTGATCCTTTCTCAACCTGCCGCTCTTGAAATCCCCAGGAATGTGAGATTCAAGGTGGACACCGGGACTTGTTCCCTTCACTTTATTCTCTACCACCCATAGAGCTCTGAAATACAGTGTGGTTTCCCGGATCAAAGCAAAGCCTTCTCCAAAGCACGACATTTCCATCTTGCTGCCCGTGCTGTCTCAGGGAGCCAGCTGGATCTTGGACTCCCAAACCCAGAAGAAAGGCAGGATTTTCTCTCCGTTGAAAGAAGTTGGTGTAAAAGCAAAAGCCAAGGTCTCGTTATCAGCATCGAAGAAAGCCACTTGTCCCTTGTCATAATCCAGAGAGACTCGGATAGTCCTTGGCCTCCCATTCAGAGGCTGAACTGTTTCGAAGGAGGTGAAGGCTTGAAACCTGTCCCCACAGATGCCAACAGCCCAAATCCCCTGGGAAGGGTCAAGGCTGATCCAACCCTTTCTCCAAGCCGAGTCTCTGGCCACCCCCACAGCCCAAAATCCCCTATTCCCCAGCTGCACTTCCCAGTAGTGTCTCCCCGCCGTGAAGCCTTCGTGGCCCAGCACCGAGCAGTAGGTGTCAAATCTCTGCGGGTTGTCGGGCAAATTCTGGGGTGTTTCGTCCCATCTCACGCTCCTCCGGTCCTCGGAGAGGACAAGGTGGGGGTTTGCTGTGTCTGGATCCAGAGTCACGTTTGCTATAAGGACAGGATGAATGAGGGAAGAAAAACATCATGTCAGAAGGAAACATGATGTTCCTTTTTATTAATGTATGCCCTTTTTTTGTTTGTTTGTTTTTCCAGGGATGGAATCTTGCCCTGACTGAAGCTGTTGGGTAAAGGCTTTCTGCATAATGTATACCTTGCAGATTTATTTAAAGGCTCTAATCATTTGTATCATTTATAATTCTGACCCAAAGGGAATAGAAATTCCTCTTGCCAACCCACCAGGAAAGTGTGATTTCCCAGCCTTTATCACCTTTTCCCACTTGGGTCCCTTTTACCCCAGTACGCTCCCATTCTCCTGAGACTTACCCCATTGCACATCCAGTTCAACTGGGAGACTCTCTAAAAGGGGAGAGGCAGAGAGAAGTGCTGTTATTATTTTTTTTTCCCCTTTACAGAGGAGAAAGAATGTATTGGAGATAGGTAAATTTGTGGAGGTGCAATTTTTCCCTTGCAAAACAAGTCAAATATCCAGGTGAGCAAGTTCAGCAGGCGAAATGCAAAGAGCTTTTCCTCTCACCCCACTTTGATTGTAGAGATTGAAAGCATAAATACTCAAGAAAATAGATTTACTTCTGGTAATCTATCACGATGGACTTAGGGGTACCAATGGCACAATTAATTGCACCATTAATTGCTGGAAACATAATTAAAAGAAGGTTTTAATTTAATGTATATCTCTGCTTTTACACTCCTCCATATTCAGCCAGTCTTGGAGACAGCAAGCTGGGCAGGTGGGCCTTCAAACCCAATATAGCCAGGTTTTTTGAGGATATTTCTTGAATTCAGAGTTGATATTTATCAATTCCTACTCGGATATCAGAGTGGGAGGGACTGGAACAGAATTATCTGGACACAGAGAATTGTCTCAAAATAACTAATTTGAGGCTTATTTAAGACCAGCAATCTTTTGCAATGCATTGACCTTTTTTTTGTGCTGACTCCCTCACGGATAGCTAGACATTACCTACAGCCTGCTTGGTTTGACTAGGACCAGGACCAAGAATGTGATTCATTTCCTTTGTGTAGCCAAAAGGGAGGGGCTTGCTCGGTCCTTTGCATTACTCTGCATTTCAGACACATTTGCAAATGCGCTTGGGAAAACAGTCACCCTCCCTCTTCCATCTTCAACCCCAGATAGGAGAGTTATTGAGTAATTCATTGCTAGCATTCCTTAGCTGGGCTTGATGCTGGTAATTGGATGGCGTCCACTTCTATCCAGCTGGATCTAGATTTTTTTCCCTTCCTTTGTACCTTTGAATTTCCTCAGGGCTTCCTTCAGAATGATGTTTTTCTGAGATAAATCCTTGAGGCTTTTTTCCACTCGGGGAAACTTCTCCGACAGATGCTGGAAAGCCCTTGTGTCACACCTGGAAGGAGAAGACTTTTGTATTCCTTCCTCGCCAAATAAGCTATGCGAAACCCCACTTAGAGAAGTGACACTGTGCTGGGGACAGAGAGCCACATACCTGGTCAAGGCACTCCTGGCATCCTAAAGGAGAGAGAAGATGGGAATTAAACTTTGAGTGATCCTCAGGCCTCTTTATATCTCTTATCTCCCCCAGGAGCTGGTTGCAAACATGCTTTGCTCGCTCTGGATTTTCTTGTGCCAAACACCTTTTCTTGTTCCAAACACCTCCTTGCTTGTGTCCTAGCATTTCCCAAAACGGTGGTTCCAGGAGTGAAAGTGTAACCCTATGCTTCGTAGTTTAGACCTGGGTTTTCACCAGGATTTATTTATTATTATATTTATTATATAAATATATTAAATATTATTTAATATGAATATTATAAATATTTATATTTATTATTTATTGTTATCCCTCTGCAAGGGCATGCATCCATCTCCCAGGCTTTGCCTGGGGCTGGGAGGAGAAGAAATTGGTGACCATTTCCAGGATGCTGAGATATTAATTCTGGGGTCCTCCTCCCAGGTCAGAGGTGATGATAGCACAGCTCACACTATTTGTAATACATCTGCTTTGGGAAACGAGCATCCAAACTACTCAAAATGTCAAGGCAAAGAGACTGGGAGGGGAAAACAAGCGTTGCAAACACCATCCCCTATTTTTTCTGCCCGTGTCCTCGCTCTCACCTGCAGGGATTTATTTTCCGGCTGGGGGTTCATCTCTTCCAGCTCCCGGATGAGGTTGCCCAGCTGGGAGATCTCGGCAGAGATCCTCCTGTCGTTCTCACTCTGGGTCTGCACTATCTCCTTCTCGGTGTCCTCCAGCCACATCAGGAGGAGCCGCTCCTGCTCGTCCTGGAACTGGTGCAGCTGCTTGAACACCGACATGATTTTCCACCTCTCGGCTCTCGCCTGCTGCTGCAAGGGACAAATTGGAAGGGATGAGAACAGAAGACACCCGAGACCTAGAAAACCTGGCTAAATAAAACAGGAGCTCCTCGTTGGCCATGAGGTTATTCTGAGTCCACAGCACACGGCTCTGGGTGTCCTTCAAGCTTTACGCAACGCCCCGTGGAGTCATAAAGCACTCGTGTCCCTTTGGGTTGTTTTTATTTCTCGGCTGTTTTCATTTCTCAGCTGGAGAAACACGAGGGCAGCGTTGCGCCGTGTTTTTCCTGCAGCCTGGACATCAGGCATCACTGCATTCAGTGTTTGATTTCAGGAGTGTTTGATGGGGCAAACCCTACCCGGGTGCCTGGGCACCCTAAGCCCAGGGTCACCACCTTCACGAGCAGCCCCACGGATCTTGTGCATCTATGGGGCTGGGGTGGTTGATGCACCATCCCTCCAGAGCATCATCCCATCTCCTCGGCTTGAAAATCCACCCAGGGGGACTCGCACACCCATCAGCCTCCGAGAAGCAGCTCAGCTAAGCTGCGAGCGCCTCCCGTCAACAATTCGGAAACCCCCTTGCTCCCCACCTGTGCTTTGTGGCTGCTGATTTCCCCTCGAGAAGCAGCCGTGGTTCACCCACGGGTGCCTTGCTGAGACGGAGCAAGGGCTGGAGGCGTTTTCCTGCTCCTCACCTCCATGCTGTGAATTTATTTACCCTATACCAGACCCTCAGAAGTCACCTCCCTGCATGCAGCGGTGGTGAGGACCTACCAGATGCTTCTGGCTTCTCTTCTCCCCCATCACTTTTAATCCTTGGAGTCTCTCTCTTTCATCCTTGAGGCTCTTCAGTTTGCTTTGGATATGTTCCTGGGCATTAAAAAGAAAATAATCATAACAATCTGCAAGCTGGTGGAGAGAGGGATGATGGCTACAATACTTCTTTAGCTAATTTGTGATGAATTTGTGCACGAGGCCATCAGAAGTTGGAAATATTTATACATTCTTCACCCTTTTACCCCTCCTCACCCCCAGACCTTTTCTACAAAGCACCTTGCGAAGGAAGAGTGAAATAAAGGCAATATTTAATTTTGCAGATTCTTTTACACCCCAACTCTGATCCTTGCCAGTTCCTTCTCCCATGATATTTATGGCCTGTTATTTTCTGCATTTCCTGCAATCAGTTCTGCCTCGGTTGGTCATTTTTACCCTAACCAGGTCCCTTGGGTTGCTGCCTCATCACCGTTACCTCCCATAATCTGCAGAATGAGTGTTTCTGCCCAAATTTGTCATCTTCAGCTGCTTCTGCAGTTGAAATAATGCAACATGAATACTGAGTGATGGATAATGTCCCCAAAATTTGTTTGTAAGAGGAGATGGGAGTACACCTTAGAAATTCCTATTTTTTTAATTGCACACTTAAAAGATGCTCCAATGAGAAATGCCAGTGGATGGTTGCACTGCACACAACCCACTATTTTTATTTTTATTTTTATTTTTATTTTTATTTTTATTTTTATTTTTATTTTTATTTTATATTTTTATTTTTATTTTTATTTTTATTTTTAAATCAGCTTATTTTACCCTTCCTGCCCCTCATTTCTTCTTTTCTCAGCCCTGTTCTGTGCTCATGGTGTGACTAACGCCACCTTTCACCTCCCCATTCCCAGTCATTTCCTCTGATGTGGGCAGGTCAAAATGTCACCAAGCTTCCTCCACTCAGGCAGAGACTTCTCCTCCTCCTCCTCCTCACCCTCTCCTCCCTGCAGGGAGCTGCAAAGCCTCCCGGCACCGTTGTGGTTATCCTGAGGCAGTTGCTCAGAAAGAAATTCCTTCTCCTTTTGGGTTAACGGGTTGATTTGCAGCGGAAAGGACAACTCATCTGGGATTTCCAAGGTGGTTCTTGCACAAAAACTGAACAGAGTGTGCAAAAGTGAGGTCCAGCTCTGCTAATTTGGGTATTCTATAGCTACCAGCCTAAGCTTCCTTTGTAGTCCCTGGAGATGGTGAGAGTAAATAAATCGGTGGTTTTCTGTAAAGGGGGTGCAGGGTGGGAAGTTTAAGGTGAAATCTCCCTTTTGGAGGTCTGGGTGAAAATCAGGCTTCACCCAACCCTTGCTGCCTGGGAGGAGATTTTGGAGGATCAGACCCAGCACCCCACCACCTCCAATCCCTCCCGAGTGTCCCCAAACCAGGCTGTGCCCAGCACCACGCATCTGGGAGTCTGTGGGGTGGGGTGGTTGAGTTAGGTGCAGGCTGGAGCTTTTTGGGATGGGTTTTGGGGCTGCAAAGAGACCCTGATCCAACCGGATGAGCCACCAGCTCTGCCCTACTTCATCCTGAATCTTGGGAATATTCTTGGGAAATCCTAAGTGGGCATCCTTTGCCGTATCCTTGAGAAGGTGGGGAAGCCCCCAGGGAGTGGTCCTCAACCTTTGATGGACCAAAAGGAAAAAAAAGGGGGGGAAAACCGAGAGGAGCAAAGCGTTGGAGATCTCTTACTTTGCACTCCTGGGCGGCTTCTTCGATGGGGGCCACGGTGTGAGCACGATGAGCCTGGGACCGGTCGCAGACCACGCAGATGGCCGTCTGGTCCTCCTGGCAGAAGAGTTTGAGCGGCTCCTGGTGCTTCGGGCACACGCCGCCCGCTCGCGCCGCGTCGCCGACCCTCGAGATCAGCTTCTTGGCGATCTCCGCCAGGTTCCTCAGCTCCCGGTTTGGCCGAAATTTTCTCTTCTGGGCTATCCCACGGCACTGAGGGCAGGCGAACCTCCGGTCCGATTTGCCCGAGCATCGCGTGATGCAGTCGCGGCAGAAGCTGTGCCCGCAGTTGATGGAGACGGGGTCGCTGAAATAATCCAGGCAGATGGAGCAGGATGCTTCTTTCTGCAGGCTCTCCAGCGGGTCGCACTCGGCCATGGCTGCTTGGGAGAAGAATGACACGGTTACTTTCGCTTCATTGAATATATATATTTATTTTTTTTCAGCAGCGGCCGGGAGTTTCCCTCTGGCTTTGCTTTCAGAAATGGGAGGTCTTGTTTGAAAAGTGCAGCGTAAAAGGAAGGAGGGGCGGGGGAAAGGGGAAATTCGAGCTGTTTTGCAACACCCTCTGAAACCTGAGTCACTCCAAAAAGGCTTTCAAGGTCAAAGCCTTGCTGCTGCAGAGAGAGAAGTGTGTCGTCCTGACCTGTGGCCTCTGAGCCGTGAAATATTTGGGTGGGAGCACCAAGAACAACTTGCGGGTGCCACCACTTTCCCCCGGCATCTCTGTCCAGCTATAACGCAAACCTGCAGACTGCAGGAAAATAAAAACACACACACACAAAAAAAAAAAAAAAAAAAAAACCAAGAAAACCCTTTCTTTTCTCTTTTTCTGAGGTCTTTTTCATCCCAAGCTCCCTAATTCCATAGCTCCACATCCTCAGCATTCATTTGGGAGCAGATCGCAGCCCACAGGAGGGCAGGATGCAACCACGCCGACACCGGGACCAGGAATAAACCCTGCCGAAGGGTTTCCAGCCAAGCCTTGGTGTAATTTTAAATTATAAAAACCTAAATCAGGGTAAATCCCTGTGATATACTAGCGTGTCTTCGTGCATCTCTTATCTCACTTGCTTTCTTCGTGGCTGCAGCCTGACTGCCTGCGGCTCCCCAGAAGTGATTCAACAGAGGAAATGAATCACACAGTGTTATAAAAAAAAAAAAAAAAAAGATACCAAAAATGAGCGAATTGCTTCAGATGACCTCGGTGAGATAAATCATGGTGCGCTCGGGTCACCGCGGCCGTTTCCTGACTGAGGTTGGGCACCAAGATTGGGTCCATCCTGAGAAGGGTTCTGCTGAGATGCTTTTACAGCCCCTTCCTCCAATGATGAGCAATTTTCCTTTTTGGGGGATTTTTTTCCCCATGTCAGGCTTGCAGAAAATGCTCCTGTGTTCGGGCATGGTGTTTGCATCCTGTTAGCTGCTAAAAATCCCGTTCGTCCTCTACCCACCCATGAGCTGCTGTCCATTGATGCACTGCTGTGACCTTCATCAACCCCAACCTTCATCATCCTCCCTGTTACGCCAGCCTACAAACCCAACAGTCCCAACTGCAAAGCATGGATTAATACCAGATCTCAGTAAAGCTTTCAGCGGGATGCTGGATTTAATTCATCCTTTTTTCCCCCTTTTTAGGATGGGCCAGCCCGGCTTCCTTTTCCAGCATCTTCCCCACAGCCACGTCAGCCCCCCTGACTCACTACCAGTAACTCAAGATGATTCAAAAACCTCTGCTTTAGCTGAGATGAAAAGATTTTATTTTATTTTATTTTATTTTATTTTATTTTATTTTATTTTATTTTATTTTATTTTATTTTATTTTATTTTATTCCATTCCATTCCATTCCATTCCATTCCATTCCATTCCATTCCATTCCATTCCATTCCATTCCATTCCATTTCATTTCATTTCATTTCATTTCATTTCATTTCATTTCATTTCATTTTATTTTATTTTATTTTATTTTATTTTATTTTATTTTATTTTATTTTATTTTCCTCCGCTGTGGCCCTAATTTTGACCCCACAGCCACCAATATGCTGTCTATGGTTATCACATACGATCCTGATCCATACCTATGGATGAGTGAGCTGCAAAATTCCCCTTTTTGATGAATGCTAAATGGGAAAAAACACATTTTTTTTCCAACTCTTGCAAGTGTGGTAACATTCAGGCCTCGGTTCAAGGTCTTTGAGGTCTCTTTTGGCTGCTTTCTATCATTTACGTCGCTGCTGCAGCTCTTTCCTCGGGCACCGGCTTTGCACATGTATGAGCTTGGCTGCCTCTAAATGTGAAAGATTTAAAAATATATGCTTATAAATAGAAATATAGATGTTTCCAAATTGCAGAGAGAAAGGCGGAGCAAAAAAATAAAGAAATAAAACGTGAAATTAGCATAGAGAAAAAAGGGCAGTGAGGGGGATTCTCTTTTTTTCCTCTTTTTTTTTTTTTCCTCTTTTTGCTTAGAAAAGAAAATGAGTGATGGGCTTTTGTGGGGCCCCATTTCCTGAGTAAATGGGTACTGGGGCTTGCAAAGTGCTTGGAAAGCTCGTAAAAAGGGGGAAAAAATAGGGGGAAAGGTTGGTTATTCTTATAGCAGATAATTCCTTCCAAAAAAGTTAACCTTAATCAAGGAAGTAAAGGGCACTGAGGAGGTTTATGGAAAAATGAAGATGTTTTTAGTAAAAACTCGCCGAGCTGGGGTTCTGCGGTGCTTTTTTGGGGTGAATTAGGGTGAATTTGTGAGAAGTGGGAAAAGAGGAAAATTTAAGCGCCCAACGTGGGGCTCGAACCCACGACCCTGAGATTAAGAGTCTCATGCTCTACCGACTGAGCTAGCCGGGCTGGTGACATTAAATTCTCTCTGTTGGATTCTTGTTCGTGGGCTCGGAGCTGTTTTATGGCCCAGGGGTGGTCCTGGTGGTCCCAGGAGCCCCCTGGTAATGGGGAAAGGCCTTTTTTTGACCTGTTCCAGCCAAAATAAGCAGGTGGGGAAACAGCAGCACGACGCCCGGCTGCGTTTCGAGCTGCACCGGTGGCCGACGAGGCTGTTGGAGGACGAAGCGTTTGTCTGAAAGAAAAAAATAAAAAAAGGGAGAAAAGGGAAAATTTAGAAGCGTGTTTCTGCCCGGTTTCGAACCGGGGACCTTTCGCGTGTGAGGCGAACGTGATAACCACTACACTACAGAAACCCGTTGGACCAGGCCTTGGCCTGTGGGTTTATATCCTCATAAAATGCACAGAATCACAGAATTTCTAGGTTGGAAGAGACCTCTAGATCACCGAGTCCAACCTCTGACCTAACACTAACAGTCCCCACTAAACCATATCCCTAAGCTCTACATCTAAACGGCTTTTGAAGACTTCCAGGGATGGTGACTCCACCACCTCCCTGGGCAGCCTGTTCCAATGCCTCACAACCCTTTCGGTAAAGAAGCTCTTCCTAACATCTAACCTAAAAAAAAACCAGCAGCAACATTCGTCAATGCCTCTAAGGACCCACTCTGAAGCAGCAGCACCAACTCCACGCACCCTACAGAACCTGAGTTCTGACCTTCCACCCCATTAAATCCATACGGATAAATGGCTGTGGGTAAAAGAGGAGGGAGTGGGGGCGTCCTGGGGCTCCCCTGCGCGGATTCAGCGCGATCGGAGATTTTAGGGAGGTATAAAATAAAGAGAGAAAAACTAAATCCGGCGAGGCGCCCAACGTGGGGCTCGAACCCACGACCCTGAGATTAAGAGTCTCATGCTCTACCGACTGAGCTAGCCGGGCGGCGCCGCGCTGACCAATCACAACCGTCCCTACGCCACATAGCCCCGCCCACTCCCCGCCTGGCCCCGCCCCCTCGAGACCTCCGAGCTAGAGCGCCGCCCCCCGACTTCCGCCCACTTCCCCCCTCGTTGCCTAGCAACGGGGCGCGCCGCTTCCGGTCAGCTGGGCGCTGATTGGGCGGGGCCGGGCGGCGGAGGGGCCGGAAAGCGGAAGCGCCGCGGAGCTTCCCGTCGGTTGGCGGAGCCCGGACCATAGAGAAGCGGCGGCGGCGGCGAGGAGGGGGCTAGAGCGTCTCCCTAGCAACGGGGCTCGGCGGGAGGGGGGGTGGGGGGGGGTTGGGGTAGGCGAGGCCTTCGGGGAGCTCCCGGTTTGGGGTCGGGGTTCCCGGTTTGGGGTCTTGGGTCCCCGGTTTGGGGTCTTGGTTCCCGGTGCGAGGCCTCCGGGGGAGGTTTGGGGTCGGGAACCGGGCCTGGGTTCGAGGTTTGAGGCCTTCGGGGGAAAGGGGGGGGGGGTTGGGGTCGGGAACCGGGCCTGGGTTCGAGGTTTGAGGCCTGTAGGGAACGGGGGTGGGGGGGGGCCGGGACCGGGCCTGGCCCCTCCGCTTTGGGGTTTACGGAGCGGGTTTAGGGGCGGGGAGCGGCTCCGGTTTAGGGTCTAGAGGAAAGGGGGAGGGGGCGAGCTCCGGTGGTGCCCACCCCGAGGGGCTGAAGGACCTCAGAAAGCCCCGGGAGGACCGAGGGGGTGAGGGGGGAAGGGGGGTGGGGTGGGGGGGGGGGGAAGTCTTTGGGCCTCCCCCATGGCGGTGGCGGGCGACGGGGGGCCCGGGGGGCGCCTGAACCCGGTGGAGACGCTGCAGGAGGAGGCGATCTGCGCCATCTGCTTGGACTACTTCCTGGAGCCCGTGTCCATCGGCTGCGGCCACAACTTCTGCCGCGTGTGCATCTCGCAGCTGTGGGGAGGCGAGGCGGAGTACGAGGCGGCCCCCGGGGCGGCGGCGGCGGCTGGAGGAGGAGGAGGAGGAGGCAGAGGGGCCGTGGGGTTGGGGGACGACGTGTTGGAGGAAGAGCTGGAGGATGAGGAGGATGAGCTGGATGAGGACGAGCTGGAGGTGGAGCAGGAGGAAGAGGAGGAGGAGGATGGCGGCGGCGGAGGAGCCGAGGAGGAGGAGGACATGTGGAGCGAGGAGGAAGACGACGGCGAGCTGTGGGAAGAGCCGGTGGAGGAGGACATTTGGGACGCTGGGGTCGGGGGAGAGCTTTATTTCGGGGACGAGGACTATGACGAGGACGTGATGGAGGAAGACGTGGAGGAAGAGGAGGAGGTGGAGGAGGAGGAAGAAGAGGTGCAGACCCCTCCGCCCCCGGTTCTGGCAGCCCGGCCCCGGCGCCAGCAGACCTTTACCTGCCCCCAGTGCCGCAAAACCTTTTTCGAGAGGAATTTTCGGCCCAACCTCCAGCTGGCCAACATGGTGCAAATCATCCGGCAGCTTCACCCCTACCCCCCGCGCCTCGCGCCGCCTGCCGCCGGCCCCTCGGCTTCGGGGGCTGCGGCCGGAGGGCCGGGGGGGGTCCTGGTGGCCGGGGGGGGTCAGGGACCTCCGAACCTTTGCGAGAAGCACCAGGAACCCCTGAAACTCTTCTGCGAGGTGGACGAGCAGGCCATCTGCGTGGTGTGCAGGGAGTCGCGGAGCCACAAGCACCACAGCGTCGTCCCCCTGGAGGAGGTCGTGCAGGATTATAAGGTGCCAGGAGATTTTGGGACGGGATAATGTGTTTTTTTTTGTTTTTTTTTGGTTTTTGGGGTTTTTTTTGGAGCCAAAAGGATTTGGTGGAGGCGGGGAGCGTCTCGCAGGGCTGGTCGGGCGAGCGGAGCGGGGAGGAGGCTCGATTCGAGGAGGCTCGGGGCGTGGGAGGCCGGGAAGCCACAAGCCCGGCGCCTCCTCCAGCAGCACGAGGGCAGAGGGAAGGGGCCAGAAGCGAGCGCTGGGCGAGCTGGAGGTTTTTGGGGCCAAGCAGGGAAGGGGCAGGGATCCCTGAGCTGCTTGGCTTGCTTTCTCCTCCTTTTTTTGGAAGTGTTGAGCCCGTGCTTCGTGCCTTAACACCCAGAGGTGTCCAGGAAGCTCATTCCTCACCTGGGGTGATGCAATTTTTGTGTTGAGGCCTGCTTTCTGAGCAGAACTGGTTGGTTTTTTTGGGGGAAATCGAAGCCAATTCCCAACGAACGAAGCGGTCGTGGCTTTGTTGTTGGCTTACACCGATCTAGGACCACGCTGATGTCAAAGAACAACCCAAAAGGGAAATTCAGGCTCTTTTCTCAGCCAGAAACCCAAATGTGATGGCTCCGGCACGTTCACCAGCTCAAGCCACGCAGCCTGTACTCAGTAGCCACAGCTTTGGTGTTTGTGGATATTCCCCGCACGAACCAGGGTGGGATTTTTGGCTTTCTAATTAAAATCTGCTTCCCAGCACGAGAGCTGCCAGAAAGGGAGAGGGAAGCGGGGCTGAAGGCTGGGCAGGAGGTTCCCTTTTTATGCTAGGGCCCAAAAAAGAGAAGAGGAAGGAGGGGATTGCCTCAGCCAGGGTTTCCTGAGCCGCCTGTTTTGTTTTTTGGCTTTTTTTTTTTGCTCTCAGAACAAACTCCAGAGCCACCTGGAGCCGCTGAAGAAGAAGCTGGACGCGGTCCTGAAGCAGAAATCGAACGAGGAGGAGAAGATCACGGAGCTGAGGGTAAGAAGCGATGCCCAGGAGGCTTAAATGCTTCCTTTTTGAGCTGGTTTTTGCGTTCCCACCTGTGTTTCCCACCCCACCCCAAAATAATTAGCCCAAAAAGAGGGTGCTGAAACATCAGCGTGTTGTGGCTCTGATTTTTGGCGAGGTGGGCGGGCAGATTTTGTCCTCTCCTGCTGCTCTGAGCCCTCGTGGAGGCTTCGCGCTCCCTTCCCTGCAATTACTGGGCTGGAAAACTTCAGGGCTTCGTTTCCCTAACGAATTGGGCCTTAATGAGGGGGTGGCGTCCTCGGAACAAATTGGTGTCCTTTGGGGCCGTCAGCTGAGCTGAGAACGCGGCGGGTCCGCTTCCCCGAGAGGGGAAGCTCTCATTTAATTCAGGTTTTGGTTGATTTTTGGACACGTGGGGGGATAAAATCGAGGGGGAGCGCGGCACAGGACCCCCAAAACCAATCCCCCTGCTCCTCTAAACCCTTTTCATCCCTCTCCCCTTGCCCTGCAGGACAAGATGAAGCTGGAGATCAAGGAATTGGAGTCGGATTTCGAGCTGCTGCACCAATTCCTCATCGGGGAGCAGGTCCTGCTCCTGCACCAGCTGGAGGAGCGCTACGAGAGCCTGCTGGTGCGCCAGAGCAGCAACATCAGCCAGCTGGAGGAGCAGAGCGCTGCCCTCAGCCGCCTCATCGCCGAAGCGGAGGACAAAAGCAAACAGGACGGGCTGCAGCTGCTCAAGGTCCTTTTTTTTTTTGTTGTTTTCCAGCCCTGCTGGGGGAGAGGGAAGGCCCCGGGCAGAGATTTCTCGGCGTGGGGGTGCAGGGAGGGGGAAATCCTTTTGATTTTTTTTTAATGTTCCCAAAGGGCTGTGAACTTTGGTGGTTTTTGAACCCTGAACCCTGCTGGCGGCCTCGCTCGGCTCCCCGCTGGCAGCCCGAGGAACTCTGGCCCCAGCTTTTATGGCCGGGAGATAAGATTTAGGGATGGGAACGAGCCAGGAGGGGCTGGATCCTCCCTCCCAAAGCCTCTGCTCCGTGGGCGCTTCCCTTACATCCTGGATCAGATCATTCCCCATCCAGAACCACAGAGGGGGGGAAAACGGGAAGAGAAGGGGACGCCCCAAAAGATTTAGGTCCGAATTTTCTTGCCTGATTTAATGTGAAAAGCCCCCAGCAGTGGATGGGATCTTTCAGGGTTTTTATTCCCATTGCCTGACCGGGACAGGACCCGTAAGAGGATTTCGTGCGAGCAACAGCGGGATCAGCATCAGCCCTCCCTAATCTTTCTTTTTTATTTTCCCCCCCTTCTCACCCCGCTGCCTCCTTTCTGCAGGACATCAAAGGCACTTTTATCAGGTCAGTGGCTTTTTTTTTGGCGTTTTTTCACACCAAACAGCTTTCGTGTCAAAAAAAAATACGAGTTTTTGTTTTAAACTCCGTGTGGCGGGCGCTTTTCTGGGCTGGGGCTGGTGGCTAGCTAATGGGGTGGCAGCGGCTCCTGTGAAGGGTGGAAACGGGGTGGAAATGGGGTTTTGGGGAGCAACTGAGGACACGTAGGAGAGGAGAAAGGTGGGGACGAGATCTCAGCCCATCGTAGGAGCGGAGCAGGGTGTGCCCACGCAGACCTGGTGCCCTGGGGGAGCGGGAGCCGCTTTTAACTCCAGAAAAATAATTCTCCCTGGCTTTTAAAGTCGACAGGCAGCAGCAGGAGGGTCCCCCCCGTCGCTTTATAGGGCCGTGGCCCAGCTGGATGCGCGGCGGCTCCGTTTCTGCGGCCGGGAGAGGGTGGGGAGCGCCGGCTGTACCAGTGCAACCAGTCCTGCCTGGTTTTTCAGGCACCGAGCTGCTCAGCTTGGCTGGAAACGGCTCCGGGTGGCTGGAGCATCACGGGAGAGCGGGCTGGATTCTCCCATCGTGCTTTTAAATCTTTTAAATAACAGAAATGTGCCCCAAACTGGTGTTTTTACATCCCCGCCTCGCTAAATCGATGCTTTTTCTGTCCTGGCAGATGCGAGAATATCAAATTCCAGGAGCCCGAGATGGTGCCGGTGGACATGGGGAAGAAATACCGCAACTACTTCCTGCAGGACGTGGTGATGAGGAAGATGGAGAAAGTCTTCAGTAAAGTCCCTCAAGGTGAGCAAACCTGGAGGAACGAGCTGATCCCTCAGCAGAATCCTAGGGGAAAGGCCAAATCCTTCCTCCTGGGGTGGGATTTCTCCTTCCCCAGCTCTGTTTTCCCATGATTTGCACCCTTCATGGATCTTTTTCCAGCAGCAGACACGTTTTCTCCTTCCTCTCCATGCCTTTCCCTATCCCAAACTCTGGATCCTGGCCCCCTCGCTCTGGATCCTGGCCCACAAAGCCACCAAAAAGATTTTAAAGGGGCTGGAATCCCCTTTAAAATCAGGATAGGACCCACAGGGGGAGGCTCCAAATTACCATTCAGCCCATTAAACGTGCAGATGAGGATTTGGGGGTGGGAGAAACAGGAGTGGCGACCTTCCCACTTAATCCTCCTCCTTTTTTCTCCTTTTTTTTTCTAGCTGACATCACCCTGGACCCCGACACCGCTCACCCTCGCCTGAGCCTTTCCCTGGACCGCCGCAGCGTCAAGCTGGGCGAACGCTGCAAGGACCTGCCCGACAACCCCAAGCGTTTCGATTCCGATTACTGCGTCCTGGGCTCGCAGGGTTTCACCGCCGGCCGCCACTACTGGGAGGTGGAAGTCGGGGGCCGGAGGGGCTGGGCGGTGGGGGCGGCCCGCGAAACGGCCCGTCGCAAAGAGAAAACCATGGGGCCCCACCAGGAACGGGAGATTTGGTGCGTGGGCACCAACGGGAAGAAATACCAAGCCTTGACGGCCACCGAGCAGACGGCTCTGTCGCCCAACGAGCGGCCCCGGCGCTTCGGCGTCTACCTGGACTACGAACGGGGCCAGATTTGCTTCTACAACGCCGAGAGCATGACCCACATCCACACCTTCAACGCCTCCTTCCACGAGCGCATCTTCCCCTTCTTCCGCATCCTGGCCAAGGGCACCCGCATCAAAATCTGTGCCTGACGGCCGCCTCGCCTCCCCCTAGGATCCGGCCTTGCACACACACACACACAAACGGCCACGCTCCTCCTTTTTCTCTCCCCCAACCCTTGATCCTTCGGGTCCCTCGTCGGGCTCGGACGCTGCACTTGTTGTCTTGCACCTGCTTGCTCACAAGGCCTCTTTTTTTTTCTTTCCCCCACCCTCCTCCTCCTCCTCCTCGTGCCAGCTCTTTTTTCACGGCCTCCCCAGCGGGATGAGCTGATCCAAAGCTGGTTTCGTTCGGATTTGGGAACAAATCGCCTCGTTTGGGAGGTGAGGCCACTACTTTCACTTCGTCCTTCGCCGTTTGAAGCTGGCGTTGAGCTTTCCAGTGTGGTCTCTCCCCCTTTTTTTCAAGCCCACCGTTGGGTTTTGAGGCGTGGCCTCTTCTCTTCGGGCGCAGAGCTCCTGGGGGGGTCTGGGCGTTGAGGAGCGCTGGATCTTGGTCTCTCGATCTCCTATCGGGGCTGAAATCATCTTCCAAAAGTCCTCGGCTTTCCCCAGAGCTGTGCCTGGATTTTTTGGGGCTTCACCTCACGAACATCTCCATCCCCAGCTGGCGTTTGGACCCGGAGCCGAACCTGCTTTACCCTGCTCCGTTTCCCTGTTCTGGCACTCGCTCGCCTCCCCCCTTGCTCTTCTCCCCCTCTTTGTGCTCGGGGGGGGTCACCAGATCTCCTCCCCCCTTTTCCCATCCCCTTCCCAACCATTTCTTGGAGGCCTGGCACTTTATTCAGGGCCGCCTGGGCCAGGGAGGGTGCAAAAAAAAAAAAAAAATCTAAAATAGGGGCGGTTTCCTCCAGCTGGAGCGCGGCGCTGGCCACCAGCCTCTCGTTTCCCCTTGCAGCTTGAGAGCTCTCCGAGGTGGGAAATAATTTATTTTCTCTTCCCTTTTCTCGGCTGTGGTCGAGGTTTCCAGCTGAATCCTGTCCCCCCTCGAGAGACTCTGACCGCACCTGTTGTGTTTTACTTCTTTTCGTTGGTGGATTGGTATTATTATTATTATTAATTTTTTTTTTTTCTTCTGTTGGCATTACAGAGCTAGTTCAAAATATTTTTGGCTAAAATGAGAATTAAATGGAGATTTAGTTTTTTGAAATGTCAAGAAATAATAATAAAGAATAAAGTTGTAAAGGCCAGCCTAGCTTATTGAGAGCCCGCTGGAGAAGCCTGGCAGAGGAATTGGGGTCTGGGTCCTGTCTGTGCCTGCTGTTACCCCCCTGCTGGTAAAACTGCAATCCTGCCTCGTTAATCTTAACCTAATCCCTGCTAATTGGATCGCTCGTATCCCTTCCCAAAGCAGCCAGCTCCTTTCTTCTGTCTGCATCGAGGGCCGGTCACGTGGAGGCAGCGTGCTGCTGCCATCGACCACATCTGGTGGCCCCAAGGGACAAAAATCCCTCTCCCCTCCAGAGCAAGGGGAAAAAAATCCTAAAAATCTGTAGGAAATGGCTGCTTGGGACAGGGCACGGAGGCTGCTGGGTGAAAGCTGCTGGTAAAACATCTCCTGTTCCTCCAGCAGCTCTCAACAGCCCCCGTGGATGATGAAACTGAAGAGTTCTGGTGACCTCGGTGTGGTTAAGGCTCTTATTTTTGGGGTTTTCTTGGTAATGGGGGTTTATTTCCCCAGTCTGCAGGTCCTTTGCTGTAATGCTGCGTTCCTATCAGGCTGTCAGCTACAGAGGGGGCTCAGGGAGGTGTTTGAGTCCCTTCTTGCACGCTTTGGAGAATAAAAAAAGTGTCCCTAACCCTAAAGGTGTGGACACAACTTCTTGGTTGGCCTGCGAGCCCAGGACAGGGGACAGGAGGTGGCCAGGAGCTCGATAGAGCGCTCTTTTATTGAGTTTTGTACACAAAATCGAGGGCTTCTCACGAGCTCGTCCTCATCTGGTCCCGATGGTGACTTGCCACACGCGGACCAGGTTGTCTGTGTAGCCAGCAAACAGGGTCTGCGGAGGGAAACAGGAGAAAAAAAGAGAAGTCAGGGCAGGGGAGGCAGCAAAATGAATCCTTGGGATGGGAAATCAAGAGGGTAAAGTCCTCAGAGGGCCAAAATCAGCCCTGGGTGCTGGGGAGAGGGTGAAAGAGGAAAGCTCTAAGGTTTGGGGTGCAGGAGGAAGCCAATTTTTCATCTGTGCTGGTTTCAGGATGCTTTTGTGGTGTCTGTGCCTTGATTTAGGAGCGGTCCCAAAATCCTCCTTCCCCTTTTCCCTGCCCAAAAAAAGGGGAAAGGGCAGGAGGGGAGGCTGGGCAGGGAGCAGGGAAGGGTCGTGTTACCTGCCCATCCGCGGACCAGGCCAGAGAAGTGCACTGGGGGGGCTCAGCTTTGCTGCTGGTGCTGATCACCTCCTGCTTCAGCTCGTCCACGATGATTTTCCCTTCCAGATCCTGTGCAGGGCAAGAAAAAAAAAGCGTCAGGGAACCAGGAGGGACTGTAGCGAGACCCCGGTGGCCAAGCCCAACCCCTCCGACCCCAAAATGCTCAGAAACAGCCTCTGGGTTTCCGCAGGGATGCAGTCAGATGGCATTGAAGTTTCATCACAGCACGCTGGTGGCTTCCTTGAGCAGGGGACGGGGACAGGGCCACCAGTTTAGGGTGTGCGACCCGTCCTGGTGGAGCCACTGGCCCAGCAGAGCTCCACCTTTGAGATCTGAGAGGCAGGGTGAGAATCTGGACCACAAAGGTGGCTCCAAACCCAGCAAAACCCCAAGTTTGAGGGAAGTAAGGTTTTTTTGGGGGGAATCCCACACGGATCAGGACGTGGGGGGATGAAAACCAAGCTGCCACGTACCCAAATCTTGATGCTGGGGCCGGTGGCAGCGCAGAGCCAGTAGCGGTTGGGGCTGAAGCACAGGGCGTTGATGATGTCCCCTCCGTCCAGCGTGTAGAGGTGTTTGCCCTCGTTCAGATCCCACAGCATGGCCTGGCCGTCCTGGGGGGGCACCAAAAGCAATCAGAGCAAACCCCACAACTCGTCACCCCAAGGATTTGCCCCACCGCAACGAGAAGGGGCACCCCAAAAACCCCAAATCCCGCCCGGAGAGAGAGCAAAGCTCCCCCAAAACATCTTGGGGTGGGGGAAAAAGGAAAAAGCCCTAAAGGCCGGCTCTGAATTTATCCCTCTAGGGTCTTCCTGGAGGAGCAGCTCAGAAACAGCCTCTGGTTTTCCGCACCCAGATGCGCTCGGGGAGTGATCGATCGTTTCGTCACAGCTCAGCCCCGTGCCCAGGAGGCAGCAGATGAGGGCAGGGAACGCTGATATTGTGCTTCTGCCGCGGGACCAGAAGGAAAAGCCCCGCTGGTGAGCACCCAGCAGGAGCCAGAGATGTTTTTTCACCACTGGTGAGCATTTTTGTGATGGTTTTTCATCGTGGTGAAGGCAGGGAGCACTGCTGCAAGCATGTTCGAGTATGAAAAGGTTAAAAAGACTGATGGAAATTTAAAGAAAATGCTGCCAGGGGCTGGGTGAGGACCTTTGCTGGGGTTTTCCTTCCTCACCAAGATGCCCTCTGTGAGCAGCATCAACTCAGGACAACTTTGCACCACTTTTAACCCCCTCGAATTGTGATTGGGATGTGGAAGAGCACGGCAAGAGCCCCAGCAGCGAGCTGGGCTGCTGGTGGGACGCCAGAATTGAGCCTCCCTGGCCTCAGTTTCCCCTCAAGACTCGTACCTTGCCGCCCGAAGCGCAGAGGGAGCCGTCGGGGGAGACGGTGACCGTGTTCAGGTAGCCCGTGTGCCCGATGTGGTTCGTCTTCAGCTTGCAGTTAGCCAAGTTCCAAACCTTTGTGGGGACAAACTAGGGTCAGAAAGGAGGCGAAAATACAGAGGAGGAAAAAAAATCCCCCCGATCTGGCTGCTCAGATCCTCCCCCGAGTTTATAAGGGCCCCAAAAGACGCGTGCCCGCCCCCAGGGGGAAGCTGATCCCCCGATTCCCCCTCGATTTACCTTCACCAGCTTGTCCCAGCCGCAGGAGACGATGATGGGGTTGCTGCTGTTCGGGGAGAAGCGCACGCACGACACCCACTCCGAGTGGCTCTCGTCCTGGGGAGAGCAACGAGGCCGGGTTTAGGGCGAGGAAACGGGGCCGGGTTCCCCCCGTTCAGACCCACCACGTCCCCTCGCTCTGCTGGCCTCCCCTGAGCCCCCTCATAATTGCAGGACTTGTCCTCAGCCCCCCCAAAAAGGGAGGTCAGGAGACATCGTGTCGCTTCTAATCATTAGGACAGGGCTGGGAGACCTGGATCACCCATCGAGAGGAGAAACCCGGGTGGTTTGACCCCAAAACAAGCCCTGGGAGGTTTCTTCTCGGGGTGTGGAGCCTGATTTTGTGCCTCCTTTTTCCCCAGCTCACCTGCACCGTGTACTTGCAGACGCCCAAGGTGTTCCAGAGCTTGATGGTCTTGTCCCTGGAGCCCGAAACGATCTGGCGGTTGTCGGAGGAGAAAGCCACGCTCAGCACGTCCTTGGTGTGGCCCACGAAGCGGCGGGTGGTGGTGCCTCTGCGGGAGGAGCAGAGGTCAGGATAGCAACCCCAAACTTAACCTTATTAACCCTCAGAAAACCTACAGCAGCAGGAAATCTCCTTTTCTCCTTAAAACAAGAGCTTGAGAGGCATTGTGCTGGCTGCCGAGGCTTGATGTGAGATTGGGAGAGTCAGGATGTGATCAGGGAAATAAAATTCAGCCTCTCTGCACACCCAGCTCTGCAAGTCCTGGCCCTAAAAAGCTTTGGAAGCTAAAAAATTCTTCTGTAGGCAGCTGTCAGAGAGAAAAAAACAGCAAAAGAAGTTCTCTGCTTGGCCCTGGTGTTCCTGTTTCCCCAGCTGTCTGCTCTCCCGAAATTAAGAGTGAAGGAAGAGCCCCTGGTGCTGCTCCCACCGCTCCTCTCCCATCATAATTGCAGGACGTGTCCTCAGACCCCGGAGGATCAGCAGACTTTGTGTCAGGTGTAATCACTGGGAGAGGGAGCCGAGGAAAAGCAGCCGAACGCTCAAATTCCAAGCTTTGTTCCAAAAATCTGCACTTTTCACCGTTAGGATTCACCTTCCAAACCGAAAATGCATCATCCCCAGCACCCGAACATAAGCAGGGGGGCCAAATTTGACCCCAAACGCTCTCAGCCCGTCCCCAAAACTCACGTGGTGAGGTCCCAAAGCCGCAAGGTGCCATCCCAGGAGCCCGAGAGCGCGAACTGCCCGTCGGAGGAGATGACCACGTCGCTGACAAAGTGCGAGTGGCCGCGCAGGGCTCGCTGCGGGATCCCGTAGTTGGTCTCATCGCGGGTCAGCTTCCACATGATGATGGTTTTGTCTGCAGGGGGTGGAACGGAGAGAAAAATAAGGCAGGGAACAACGTGGGAGCGTGGATCTGGCTGCACCTCGCTCGTTTTTCTCCACTGCAGGGCTTTTCCTCTCCCAGAGGATTTGTGGACAGCAAGTTGGGGGAAGTGTTGGGTCTGCTGGGGGGTAGGAAGGCCCTGCAGAGGGACCTGGACAGGTTGGGTTAATGGGAAGAAACAATGGGATGAAGTTCAACAAGGCTTAGGGCCAAAGTCCTGCATTTGGGGCAGAACAACCCCATGCAGTGCTACAGGCTTGGGGCAGAGGGGCTGGAATACCAGAGGAAAAGGATCTGGGGGTGTTAAGCTCGCCTGAACGTGAGCTGGCTGCGTGCCCAGGTGGCCAAAAAAGCCAACGGCATCCTGGCTTGCGTCAGGAAGAGCGTGGCCAGCAGGAGCAGGGAGGGGATCATCCCCTGGTGAGGCCACAGCTTGAGTGCTGTGTCCGGTTTCGGGCCCCTCACTACAAGAAGGACATTGAGGCCCTGGAAAGCATCCAAAAAAGGGCTACAAAGATGGTGAGGGGCCCGAAACATGAAATTATATGAAGGGAACCTGAGGGAATTGGGGTTGTTTAGTTTGAAAGAGGCTCAGGGGAGACCTTAAAACCTGAAAGGGAGCTGGGGGTGGGCATCCTCTCACAGACAACCAGTGGCAGGACCTGAAGGAACGGCCTCAAGTCCCACCAGGCTGTTTTTTGTTTATTATCTCCCCTCCCTGCTCCCCCATCACGGTCCTTTCCCCTCCCCCCCCCCCCCCAAACCCATCGGGCGCGGCCCTCACCCCGCGAGGCGGAGAGAATCATGT